CACATGTATAATTAATTTATAAAAATACAGCATCATATTTAAAAGCTACTCGCCGAAGGCAGCAAAATAATAACTTACATTTTGGGGTTTTTTAAAACGGTTTTTTTTTTATGAAATTTTTTTTACAAATTACGAATACCCCAATGTATGCAAAAAAAGATTCATTAATTTTTGTTTATGATTTATTACTATTATTAACTTATATTATTACTATAATTCACACTCCCCTAGAAAATCGAGACATTTTTTATTTTTATTTCGCATTTTTTGAGGACAGACTTTGGACTTATTTTCTTAGCGAAAAAATGTATTATAATGACTATTTCACTGGCATAATGATTGAACTCTCTAGTCTATTTATAGAATGTAGTATTGTGTAATCGAGAAGATAAATTTAAAACCATTCAAGCTTGCTAGCTTATATTATTATTTTATGCATTCGTGAGAAATAAACTAATATCTGATTACAATCGTCCCCCGTTAAAAAAAAAAAAACATCTACAAGACATATGAGAAAGCTTCAAAAACCTAATCTCTAATCTCACATGTAGGTATATTCAATTTCAAGCTAGAAAAAAAAACGCTACAATATAATATAATGTATTATATCATTATTATTTTCAACGTGAAACGTTTTACTCCTGCATTAGTCTTCAATGAACCGAGCGTTAACATTTTTATTTTAACGGTTTTTTACGGATTTGGTTAATATATTTTGTTACGGCCCGTTAACGAAAAATGTACAACAATAATAATTATTAATCTCTTTATAGAAAAAAAAAATAGTATAGTAATGTTATCGTGTACACGTAATCTATTTAATAATATTATGATATTTATTTACCAACGTCCGACCCGCAATCGTTCATAAACTGTAAATCAAATTGATGTATTCATCGTAACCGAATATTTGACAGTTTTATTGCACTTTAAGAATAATAATTTCCATTACAGTACTGAATTAATCGACCGTTGATAATTTATTGATCTCGAAGACCAATAACCGTGGAATTACAGGTCCATCGGTATCGCGGTGCTATAGAACTATAATTGGTCATACTTAAAAAAAAAATATATAATAATGTATATATATTATAAATTACTCTCGTGCTCAATAAAATATGTCATATGATCACGATTGAATAATTTTATTTTTTACAAATAATTTTTAATCGCATCTTTGTTATTTTTTTAATTACAAGACTTTCAATTACAGTTGTAATATTTTTAGTCCATAGGGAAAGTTGCAAACGACAGAATTATTTATAACTTTATACTTTTCTTCTTTACTTGGGAGCCATAACGTCAAATATCACCGCCCCTTGCTAGTTTCGTTACTGACACTAGATACACTAGAGGCTTCCCGCTTCAGCAACTCTGTACTTTTGCCGCTGGAAATCGATCTAGTGTATTTTATAAGCCGATAACTTATCGGCCGCAGGTTAGGGAGCAAAAAAATCATATGCTGGTTTTAAAAAATAATAATTATAATCTACTTAGAAAATATCCAGGTTTAATGTTTATTTTTTTCATTAACATAGAAAATTATTCTGAAAATGTAACAGTTACTCCTCCTCCCATATGTGTATATACTGAAGCGACCTCAAACCCAGACTACATACAACAATGTATATTATATAGCCGTATAGGTCCCTACGAACCACAGCGTTAATCAATTCGGTTGCCCGCAGTCAGCCGCACCCGAAGCGGCTGCGGCGGCAGAGCGACTTGATGTAAGTTGATACATATTATATTCTATACACCACCCATTATCTATGCATACAAATTATTATTATTATTTTTCTTTTTTTGGAACCGCCCCTACACTACCACCGTCGGCTTTCAATTATGGCCGTGGTCACATTACGCGCGTTTAATAAACGTATACCGTATTATTTTCTATTATCATTATTACTATTATTATTATTATTATGATAAAACGTGTCCGTATAGAGCACACGGCAAAATATACGTTTTATGTTTGTGGAGGAGGGCGAAGAGAGGAGGCGAAGAAATGGAGAAGGAGATGGCATTCGGTCTACCAACATCACAAACACTTTATATATATATATATATATATATATGTGTGTGTGTGTGTGTGATGCTGTATATATATATATATAGACGTTGTGGGTCCCGGTGCCGTCGGTCCTAATGACTGGAAACGGACAATCACAAATTACCGTATACACCGTATTTATATGCTGACAATGAATGACGGGCGGACGGTAGAAAAATTCAAGAATTTATATCGGCTGCGGCTGGGCGGCGGCGGCTATCCTACGTCAAAAGCGGTACATTTGACACGGTCCGTTGGCCCCACGTACACACAAACGGCCACGGCGGCGGCACGCACACACACACACACACACTATCGCCGACAACGACGACGCGTATTTATCATCCGAACCGGTGAACCGGACCATAAGAATATCAAAACTTTTTTTTTTCTTTTTGTTTTTTTTTTCATATCCGTCCGTCCAAGTCATACCGCGTTTTGCACGGTGTCCGCAGCGTGTCATTTATTAGAATTGAGAGTTAAAGTTGAGCCAAGTGTCCGAAATCCTTCTATCAAAAATTAAAAAAATGTTTAATTCTTAAAATTAAATTACATTACCTCAGGAGGATATTAGTTCCCCCCCCCCCAATGTTTTAGTGTAAAACCCTGACTACGCATAATCCAATTTACTCGGGCCATGGTTTAGCTAAAGAAAATACATTGTAGGTAAACTAATGAATTATAGAAACACATAGAAAAATAATTAAAATTACAATCATACCTATTACTTTTCGTTTAAATTGTATAACCTCGCGTGGTCAGCCTATATATATTTTTAAACTAAATTAATCACTAACGTTTAATGACCCAATAGACGTTTAAGGGTTCCTTTAGCCTAATTTGTTTGCCCGTGATTGGTCAATAAAATTTTAATGAGTTATCAAATTTATTATTTTTAATGCAACCCTTTATAGGTATCATAAAAAAATGATTTGTATATAAGATAACTAAATATACTAGGTTATTTTTGCCTATTAGAGATTAAAAAAGAGGAATATTTAGCTTATGTGTATATGACATACTTCAGAATATGTTTAGAATTGTATGGAAAAAAACATTTTATTTTAATGAAATTTAACATTTTAAAAAATCAACCAATTTGGGAGTATTTAAATATTTTTTTTTTAAATAGCAATTTTGAATAGATTATGTTATATTAAAAAGGTTGGAGTAACCTCAATAATATATTTTAAAAGAAATTTAATTGTTATTATGTACCTATATTTTAAGGTTTTTCATCGAGGGCTTCGATCAAATCTTAAAAACAATTTTTATATAATGTTTAAAACTTATTATAATTATTTTTTAGTTACAACCATTATTGTGATTATGGTGGTGTATTTGCATTATCTTAGCGATAACCTTGATTATATTTATTGTTTATATTTAATTGTTAACTATAATTTTTAATACAATACAGGTCATAAACAATATTCTTATTGTTACCTTTTTTTATAATAAAATATAGTTTATTAGTAAAAATCTAAAGAATAGTATAGTGCTCACAGACACAAAAAAAACACATCAGTGTAAAAACAATACCACATCAGCTTCGTATCAAAGCTAAAAAAATATACCATTTAAAAGATCTATTTTGTATTTTTTTAGGGATCTATTATGTTCTTACATTAATCAAAAATAAGCTGAACTTATTTTTACTTTAGTTTTAAAATATAAAAATATATTTTCTGTAGGTGGTCCAAATTTAATAGAGCCGAGGTTTAAACCGTTAATAGATTTTTTTTTGAATTTCTACTGGTTTCAATTCGGGGTTGAATAAATTATAATATTATTATATATTTTAAGTACGAACTGCAGCTAGCTCATCTTCCACACTAATTTCACACGTGTATTTTTTATATAGTTCTATGAAATAAAAAATTATAATCGTTGTAAATATTTCTAACGGCTGTCGTTGACGAATTTTCAGATTTGTTTTTGGTAATGTGTTTAGATATGCCTATTTAAAAAGTAGGTTTTTGTTCGTAAAATATTAGGAAACCCTTTCAATTTATAAAAAAAATCACCCCTTAGAAATATTGTATTCTACACATTTGATAATTTGGATGTTTTCAGTCTCAAACCATCGTGGACCAAGTAAAAGGGTTCTGCGTGACAATGTTGGGGTAAGAAATATATATTTAGACACATTATTGTGGCTGTGATAATCTAATAAAAAAATAGAATAACCAATAAAAAATCTTCTTATAAATGTAAACTTTAATTTTTGCTTGACATTAAAGATGCAGATTATTAAAAATATTTCAACAAAATGGCCAACTTTGGCCACTATTTAGAGAAATCAGTTGGTTTCATGCGGCGCTCGTTTTTTTTAAATTATACTAAAATTAATCTTTTCATTTTCCATAAATTATAATAATATTATTATAGTTGTACAACGGGTGGTAGCCGCTAGTGATGGGGATCCGAAAATCCGGATTTTCACAAAAAACCGCTATTTAAGCTACTTAAAAATCATAAAAAAATTTACAATATAAAGCTGTGTACCTAAGTAAAATTTCTTTTGCAATTATGTAAAAATAAAACAAAACACCAATAAGATAAACCGCTTTTGGATTTGTTGAAATTCGAAAGCATTTTATAGACAAATTTAAGTTTTTTAAAAAAAAATTGTATCGACAAATTTTACTTAGGTACACATCTTGATATTATAATAGTATTTAATTAATTATACGATTTTTAAGTGGCTCAAATAGCGTATTTTTTAATGATCCGGCCATCCTGATTTTCGGATTCCCATCACTATAGCAGCCGCACGATGTTTTTATGGCGCGCACCATAATTACCGTATCGGCGGCGACACTGCATCAACGGTCGTTGAGTGGGAGAATTTCGGCCATCTGCCCCCTCGCGGCACAATCTCGATACGCCTGGCACAGGAAATCTTCTCCCGTTCTTATTCGTCCTCGCACTAGTAGTTTGTAGCCACAGTCAGTAATCGCATTCCGCGCGCCCACGACACGTCGTCGCACAGTCGTTATGTCCAAATTATTAATATCACTCTAGTATATCATAATATCATGTTATACAGTATTCATTTACATATGAAATTACCTTTACTATAGTGTTATTATTTTTTAATTAAGTTGACGCGTGTGTTCGTATGTGTCTTGTGTGTATGCGAGTACGTCAAGCCGCTATTCGTTACCTACCGAGGAAAATATTATCTATATAGTTTGCCCGCCACAGTGATTTTTTTGTTGTTTTTAACTTGTAAATATTACAACGTTAGAATTTCTGTTTTTTGTTTTTAAGAAAAGTCTTCGAAGTCGTCTCGCTAAGTTCGGCGGTTTTTGGTTGTTCTACTAACTATTTATTGTACAGTGTGTGCCGGTCGACTGTCAATCGTTTTCAAAACAAAACAAAAAACAGTCGTTTACGTTTTATATGATCTACGGTTATTATTCAAAATCATTATTTCCTAATGAGGATACATTCGATTAAAAGTGATGCAGTGGAGATATGGTCGACCACGTTGTACTGGACTTGTACGTGAGGACCACTTTTCAAGATGCACAAGTCGCACGTAGACAAATCGAAAAGGTACACATCATTTTAATAGATAATGTATAGATAGTGTTTTCAGCTATATCGCGGTACATTGATGATTTCATGAAGTTAGGGTTCGAACGATTAAACGGTTTGTATGAATTTTGGGCTTGCCAAAAAAAAAAAAGATATCGTAGACCTCCCACACTGAGCGAATACCGACTTTTTATTATTCCACCGAAATTGCTCGACGTTTTTCCTTATATTATGAGTTGTAGTGAATATTATAACCTTTGTATTCAGCACGTTATAGTAACCGCTTCATTAAACACGTGTAGGTACCTTTGAAAATGATAAAACTTCCGACAAACGATTGTTAACCGTTTACCGGGACACCGCGTATACCCTAAAATCCTTGTATTCAAAACACTCTGTAGGTAAAAAAAAAAAAAATAGAAGAAAAAAAATTAATAAACACATTTTACCGTCACAACGCGCGTTCAATTAAGGAAGAGAAGGAATTTTAATTTGATTTACTAACCGTATAAAACATGAATACAACTATTAACGATCAAAAACATGTTTTAATACGATTAAAACATTAACATTGTGCTTTACTGTCTGGGTAGTTTATGGTACTCGTCCCTTGAACACAAATCTGAAATTATTAAGTATACTGATTAGGTACTTATTATATGGGTTTATAGTTATATAAAATAAAACAAGAAATGTTTCGTATTGACATGTGATTATGATATTTTCTTATTGTAAAATCTTGGATATTTTGTAAATTCTGTGCCTGTTATAGATACACCTAACTGTTTTAGATTATTTTATATGTACCTATGTATCCCTAACAAAAAAAAAAATATATTCAGTATTTTTAAATAATTGAATTTCGCGAAAACGCGATCAAAAATAAACAAATACTTTATAGGTGTTATCTCATAATTTTAGTTTTGAATGCTCATACAATAATATTGTAATTTTCTAAAATATTTCAATAATATTCATCAATATTGTTCAAAATGGGTTTAAGATCATATCGTTGGCAGAAAATCTAATGTTGCAATATAACTTTCTAAGTATCAGTTTCACGCGTAATAAAATATTATTATTTCTAAATTGTTGTGATGTGCAGTGTGAGGGAAGGTAATTTTGCTTTAAATAATTGACCGTACACGGTACGCGTACGTTTAAAAGTAAAAAATCCGTTAAAACTAATTTTTCAAAAAATGCGTTAAATTAACTCAAACGCCATATGTTCTTATATAGTTCATAACCTTTCAAGAAGATAAATACTACTCTTTTTTTTTTCTAAGCGTTTTGTACGCCTTAAAACATTTTTTTTTTATATTAATTCTATTACACGCAGTGCATCGGGGCGACCCGTTGCTACCAGGAATGATTATATGTTGCAACCAAGCCCCGGTCTTTCTTTCCCTGCGATTGAGGTGTCTGGGTGGTCCTCATGACTTCACACAACACAATGTGGTCCCCATATATATTATATGTATATTGTATACACACACACACACACACATATACGTACAAACGCATTAAGGAAGTAACATCCAGCTGGCACATTGCTCCCACTGATCGCGGAACAGTGGTTCTCATACTCTACAGGACATCTTTATCCGAGTGTCCCTTTTTTCTTTTTTCTCGGCATAGCAACGCGTTCACGTGTAATTACATTTTTATCGCCGCCGTTTTACTTAAGAATAGTTTAGAAAAACGTCGGTTGTCTGACGTTTCTACTTGTAATATTATAATCATATTATAACAAATTTCCAACTGTATACTATTTTTATAAATAACGATCGAGCCTAAACCAATTTTATTAATCATGGAAATATATTTTCCAAAATATGTCGATCATAGATTATATGGACTTAACAAAAAATATATTATAATAATGCGTAGTCAATAGAATGTTGTATTTCCCGTTTGGAAAGCATTGCGAATTGCTGTCCTCCGCACAATATAAAATTGTCTTAACTTTTTTTGCGGATTAATGGAACCCGTTTAAATATAATAGTTATTTATAATTTCGAAATATTTATGTAATTACATTTGATTTACTTACTGCCAAAATATGGTCTAAAACGTTTTGAAAATATTGGTAAATACTATTTACATATTTTAGAAGTAGGTATATAATTTCTACGTGAACCCAGATAGTAGAAATTAAATATTATACTTAAAATATACCGTACAAATATTTGTCTAGGTTTGTATACCGTTTTTACTATATTTTTACTACATGTATTTAAATAATACGTTATATTTGTCTTCGACAAACGTTCATATAAATGAATTTTTATGTTTTAAAATTGTGTTTGAATAAAAGTGTTTAATATAATTCTCCTACTTCTTTTTTAGAATCTCTAAATGCCTCTACCGTAATTTCTCTAATTTGTTTTACTTTTTTGTTATTTTCTCTTTTTTCAACATGTTCAAACCATCTCAATTCGTTTTACATTATTTTACTCTTGGCGTAAATCATAAACATACTCCCTATGTGCTCATTTCTTATTCTACACATATCCATTTGAAAAATGTATTAAAATATTTATTCATATGCTTTTATAAAATCAATGTTGGTTTAAACGCATAAGATGTTTGGTATTTACCTGAAGATATGGGTTTTATTGGTGTATCAAAAAAACATAACCGGTGTTTTGCGAATTGTTTAAATATTTGATCTCGGCCATTTAAAAGTATTAAACAAAAATGATTGTATTATAATTATTTTCCTAACCGCAACCACTATGTTTAATCAACAGGGCAAAGCTGTAGGGCGTCTATGCGCTGTACGGTTCAGAGCTTGGGAACAAAAGTGCTTGGAGCGATTGGGCCGGTCCATCCATCGCAAAACCCATGTGTTCTTTCTACCCTTGTTGCTGTGCCTCGGAGTGCTGTTGGCCGGATTCAAAGCCTTCGACAGAAGCTCGCAGTTCGATCAGCTATGGGTTGAGTGTAAGCGTTGTGTTTTTTTTTAAATATGTCTAAAATTATTGTTTGGACAGGAAATAACAATTTTTTGCGGTGGATTTTTACAGCGGGAGGACGTCTGGAAACGGAATTGCGTTATTCGGAATCGGCGTTGGGCGAGACGGAAAGCGTTATTCATTTGTTGGTCACGCAAACGGCCAAAGAGGCCACATCCCCGGAAGTGCCTCAGCAGCGGCTTCTCCACAGAAAAGCCTTGCTCGCTCACCTGCAGCTCCTCAGAGCTGCGTCTCATGTCACCGTCAACCTGTTCGACGTGTAAGTACACTTCCACTGACTTATTATAATTTACTCAAGTTGACCTAATTAATTGATTTTTTTTTTTTTTTTATAAACAGGACATGGAGTCTTAAAGATATTTGCGTATCGCCGAGTCCTCCGGACTTCGAAGTCCACTATATAGATACTGTAAGTATAATATGTGTATTGCTAAGATTGCCGTTGTCAAAATTGGCAAAAATCCCCCCTCCCAAACAAAAAAAAGTTTATGAAATCTCATATTTTTTTGGTAAATAGCATAATATAGTTGGCCAATAACAACTAGCAGGAATTTTTAAGCCCAGCAAATGTTTGTTATTTACCCGGAGATATGGGTTTTACTGGAATTTATATTGTATAGCTTGAAACCCCTAGTTTTTACCCTGCTCACTCCTGTTTTGCATGACTGTTTTAGATTTTTGAAAATATGATGCCTTGTGAAATAATTACCCCATTGGATTGTTTCTGGGAAGGTTCTAAACTACTCGGCCCGGAAAATCCCGTGACCGTTCCGTGAGTAAAATCAAATTTACGCTAAAAAAAAAAAATAGCAACGATATTTATTTATTTATTTGTTCCGTTTGTAGCGGTGTCGGCAACGGCATTAAGTGGACCAATTTAAATCCCCAAAGCCTAATGAAGTCGATCAAAGCCATGGGCGACACTAACTTCCCGTTCGACATGCTCGAGACTTATATGAAACGAGTAAGTGTTGTTTATTATCGGTCATTAGTCGTAAGTAGTTTGTAAAATACAATAATTGATTTCTATTTGTATTTTTTTTTAAGGCTGGAATAAATTCAGGTTATCAAGAGAAACTGTGTTTAGACCCGGACGACCCAGACTGCCCAGAGACTTCGCCAAACAAAAAAACCAAAAAAGTGAGTACCGTTTTTCGCTGTATAGTAAAACAATAATAATTACATTGCACAACCCCATAGAGGACTTTTTTTGTTGTCATTAAATAATTGAACCTGTTTGTCTGGTACGGGCGTGCGATTTGCATCGCAGCTTAGGTGCAATTAACTGTCGTATATATAATAATAATATGACTGACTATAAATTATCATTATATTATCTATAGAAACATTTTTTTATGTAAGAATAAGCCATAAACGGGTGTAATTACATCGCGATGGGAGGTAAACAACGCTTGGGAGGTAAAATGGGAATTGCAATTTTTTTTTCTAAGTGAATTGCATGTATTTGCGCATTAGTTAACGATTAGACAGATTGAACAAAAAAAAAAAACACATACCCTCGAATTTTAATTGATTCAACCTAGAAAATTGATAGTGTTTATACCCGAAAATTTGAGTTTTATGTACAAACGCGCGCAAAAAAATGTATTGGATAAGAAAATTTATTCATAAAATTACCTGAATTTAATCATCGGTTAGTTGGTTTTTTTTTTTAATGTAGGTCATTTTCTCACTCTTGAAAAGGTAAAGTAGTAGGTAATACGAGTTGCGTATGATTTCCTAGTATAGTGTATATTTGTTTTTGTATCGTTTTTTCCCTATATAAATCTTGTGTTTATATATATATATATATATGTATGTTTGTGTGTGTGTGTTAGACGGTGTATACCTAGCCAATATGTATCATTTAGGCCCCCCCAGACAACATCTATGTTTGACTTATTTGCATAACAAAGACCTCTTGGGAGGCATTGTGTTGGCCGGTGCCTATTCATGTCTTGTCATAGCCGAACACACACACAACCAGACTCTCTCGCTCGTTGGTTCGGTCTGCTCCCACTTTTTTTTTTTTCCTTTCTATCTCCATACCCAGGGTAATAATTGAAGTGTGTATAGATATATATATATATATTCATACCGATGAACCCGGAGAAGAGAGACCACACACGCCACACTCTGGAGCCATCATTCTCTCGGTCGGTGATGCCTTCATTATGGTCATAAGGTAATAGGCCTTGGGCCATACACAATGCACAGCACCCAAGCATTCCTTCGCATAAAAAAAAAAAACACCAATTTCACCATACATTTTTATTACTATATTACAAAAAAAAATTGTAAGCGTTTGCGCGCTCCTATCATGTTTACGTGCAGCTCGAATGGATTTAAATAAATTATTTCCTAAGCGTTTTTTATTTTATTTTTCTATTAATTGTAGGAAAACCCCAGGAGAAAAAAAAATTAAAATATTATACCAATACAGTTATATCAATGATAATACAAATATTTGAACATTTTTTGTAGTAATTTAATAGTCATTTTCATGAATACATTTTTTTTTCTTCAAAATGAATAAAATCTAACGAAATATTTAAAAATATATTTATGCTAATCAAAAAATGTATTAAGATATTTTACAGAAAGTTACAAAAACATTCCGTAAAAAAATATTTTATATACCTTTTTTGACTAGACATTTTTGTTTGATAATATTTTTAAATTATTTTTTGATAATGCTATTAATATATAATTATGTTTACTGAGTATTTTCCCGAAAAACATCAAATTAAATTATTTATTAGGTAATTTAGTCAATAGTGAAAGTTGTCATTGTAAAAATATCACTTTTGGATTGATTTTTTAAAACAGAAATTTTGGCTATTCAACATTTGTTTTGTTTAAAATAAGTTTGGTTGTCACTTGACGACCCTTATATATTATTATTTTTATTTTTCCCTTACTGTATAAATTTTTATTTTGCGAATTGTCTATAGTTGTATGTGTGCAATGCAAGTTCGAATATACTTTCGATTTTTTCGAACTCTGGTGGTCTATCTCGATGTCGGTGGTCTAATTTGTTGAAAAATGTATTAAAAAAAAAAAAAAAACAATTGTCGTCGTCAACGTAAATTTGTTTTCTTCTGGACATCCGCTACTTAATATCATTATTATAATAATAATGTGTATATTTTGTAAATATCGTTAACGGTAAATCAAAATACATGTGTTATTATCAATTTATATATTTTTTTGAAAATGTTTTTGGCGTTTGTGTGAATGCGTGTAGAGTATAGGAGAGCGGTCTCGCGTTCTCTGTGTGTAAATGGCAACTCAGCGCCGGCCTCTACTTCATGGGAGGTCTCCACATCTCTTTTTGGGCCTCGTGTGTGTGTGTGTGCAATGAAACCTGAACAGCTTCATCCTCGCGTCATTATATTATTATATATTATTTTGTTGATGTGTTCTCAGAATACTGCCCCCAATGTCGTCGTCCCGTAACACTAACCCGTAACTTTACCTGATCGTAATAATAATAATAATTTTTACGTGTTTCGGCCCCTTGTAACGGCGTGCAATATAAATGGCCGCAGAAAAAAAATATCCAAAATTGTTTGCTCGCTTATAAGGCGGAGGCGGCGGCGATGGTGTTCACCTGCTGACTTGGAGTCACATTCTTGAAGGGTCTTATGTATAAGGCCGCAGCCGCAGCCGCCGCCGCCGCAGGTAATACCTCTCAATGAATGGGCCACATGTCACAAATGTGGCGGTATTTCACATTATATTATAAGTCAGATTAAGTTACATCGATGAATGTATATTATGTATATCACACATAGACCGTCTGTCGGCCACAATAAAGTGATATTGTATTGTAAGAACTATAGAAATTTGCAAGGAGCAATTTCCGTCGCTATTGATATTTTGTAGCCATTTTCTAGTGGTCGCCCTCATCGCCCCATAAGACTTATTGTGGACCTCCTTAAATTCTTTGCGAGGACCCATACTACTTCTTTAACGACAACTTTATGAGAACGTTAGAGACACAGACACAATACATCTCTTGTTGTTCAAATAGTCTACAATAGGGAGAGAAAGTATAAAAAAAATACCGCACGACGGTTACAAAATAAAATGTATTATTTTTATGTATCTCTTTTTATTGAAAAACCTATAATCACGTCTGGACGATGCTGGCTTGTATTTAACGGAAAAGGCACCATCTGGAACACTATAATATTCGTTCACCTAATTTTAACTTTGCCTTTCCACAAGAGGGGTGGTGAAAAATGTACGAATGTTTGTAACCCAACCTAACCCATTTTCGTTTATAAGCAAACATGGCGGGGGGGCTGTTTCTCACATTCTCCCCCGACCTAACCTAACCTCACATATTTCACAACTCGGCAGTATTATGCTATATTGGGTTAAGACGAAATACCATAAGTCTAATTAAAATGTTGCTGGTTTCTCTATGAAGGCTTTACTATATAGAAAGGGACGTTGACGCCCCACGTTTCCTGTACCCACATCCTCGCCGTATAAGGTATGAGTTGAGTTGTATATTATACGGGCGATGCTCGAGGGTGAGCGACGGATTTAGATTATTATAGACCAGGAACAATGCCATGTAGACACAGAAGTGGGTGTTTTAAATTTCATTAAACAAAACACTTGTTTTCCGTCCCTCGACCGGACGTTTTCATTAAGGCGTCAAGCACAATACACGGGTTGTTAATAAATAATAGCATCAAACGATTGTCGTGGATTAGTAGATAACATAATAGATGTGTCTATTCCTTATGAAAACTCTTGAACAATTTTTAAAAGCGTTTTTATAGGTACTAATACTTATTATTATAGTGGGAATTTAAAAACCAAACACCGTTAGTTATAGTGTCGATTGATTTTTGTTTAGATACCAGATATAGGAGCCGAGTTGGCCAACGGCTGTCGAGGTTTCGCCAGCAAGTACATGCACTGGCCGAAGGAGTTACTGTTGGGCGGTATCGTTCAAAACAAGACCGGCTACATTCAAAAGTAATTATCCATTTCAACAGCAGTCGCGTTTACTTGACCCGGCCCCATCGAAACCCAAAACAACCTTACCAAACCTGACCAAAATATTTGTTTTTTTTTTTAGAGCCGATGCACTTCAGTCCGTTTTGCAATTGATGGGCGAAAAAGAACTGTACGAATTTTGGTCGCAAAGCTATAAAGTGCTACACTTTTCGTGGGATCAAGAAAAAGCCGCTTTGGTGTTGAAGACTTGGCAAAAAAAATTTAACGAGGAAGTGAAAAAAGTGTTGAAAAACTCGACAATGGCGCCCTACAATTTTTTCACTTTTTCAACAATGTTGTTGAACGATTTGCTCAGCCAATACGATTTTTTAGATCCCAAATTGATCTACATTGGTTGTTTAATTATGGTGAGGTTTTTTAAAAAAAATGTTTTTAATTATAATGGATAAAATCGTAGTGCGGTGTATTTTAATAATGAATATTCAATTTTCAGGTTATTTACGTTAGCATAATGCAAATAAATCTATTCGACGCCGTCAGATCACAACTCATCATCGGGCTGTTCGGTCTTGCATTGGTAGTGTTGTCGATAGCATCCGGAATAGCGTTTTGCTGTCTCATAGGAATTCAAATACATTCGGCCACCATAGCCGTAAGTATTATGCTTCTTAACACTATAAAATTGTATAGCTTTCAAAATCCGAGGACATAGAACAAAAATGTTAGGCTAAGATTTCAATTGTACCATACTAAAAAAAAGTTGCGTTGGGGTCTCAATAAGCGACCTTGAAAATATGTTTTATCTTTCTTAATTTAATGAGTTGTGATTTTTAATTTATTTAGAATATCTATAACAGTTCTAAAAAATACTTTAAAACTGAAAAATAAAAAATTTATATTTTTTCTGCTCCATCCTAACCCATCATATATTTTACTTGTTGGGTTTTGGATTATTCTCTGACCTCAAATCCGGACAACACGTCATATCGCTGTATAAAAGTGCGTAATGTATGTAATGTTGTGATTACAGGTGGTCATATCGATCGCGTCCGCCTTGGGAGTGAACAACATGTTCTTGTTGATGTTCAGCTACAAACGGGTTTCGAGCCACGGGTTCGACCGCGTTACACAGAAATACAGCGGTCACATGGGTAAAAAACAAGTGGGAATGGTGCTCAAGTCGGCGGGAACTAGCATACTCATGACGTCACTGATCACGATTTCCACATTCATGACGGCCGCCGTGGTGCCGATTCCCGCTTTGCGAGCGTTTTGCCTGCAAGTGGCCATTTTGGTGGCATTCGTGTTGGCCACCACGCTTTTCGGCGTGACGTCACTGATCAGCTTCGACGTGCGCCGGCGGCGGAGTGCCAGGATCGACATATTCTGTTGTTTCCCGTCCGAAGATTTGCAATGGCCGTTTTTCAACAACACTAAACAGCCAATGGTTGGCGTGGCCGACAGCACCATCGACGGACAAATGCGGCAGTTGGGCAAAAAGCCGGTAGCGTTTACGCCGGCGGCGGCGGCGACTTCGAATTTCCTACTGAAAGACTTCAGAGACGCCAATTCGGACTGCGAAGACAACATGCCGTCGGCGGCCACCGCCAAGACACATTGTTGCGAATGGACGCCGCGGGACATTGCCCGGAAATACGTGCAATACCTGACGACCGGTTCGTGCCGGATTCGGGTCATCCTGTCGTTTCTTGTCGTTCTGGGTGTCAGCGCGTGGGGCATCACCAGAATACAAGCCGGGCTGACCCTACCCGAAATGGTGCCCAACGGTACCAACGAACAAAAGTTCCTGGGCACGTACGGGCAGATGTTCGGCTTTTACAACATGTACGCTGTCACCAGAGGCGACTTTGAGTATCCGACTAATCAAAAGTTGCTGTACGAGTACCACGACGCGTTCATGCGGGTGCCCAACATTCTGAAGAACGACAACGGCGGGTTACCCCAGATGTGGCTGACTTTGTTCAAGGAATGGCTGCTGGGATTGCAGAAAGCGTTCGACAAGGACTGGCAGAAGAAGTGCATAAGCCAAGAGGGTTGGGATACGTGCGCGACCGAGAACGGCATATTGGGTTACAAGCTTTTGGTGCAGACAGGTAACAGCGACAACCCAATCGACAAATCGCTGGCGTCGACAGCCCGACTGGTCGACGAGAACGGTATCATTAACGAAGAGACTTTTTACAACCTGTTGACCGCCTGGGCGTCCAACGACATACTGGCGTACGGCGCTTCGCAGGCCAACATCAGACCCGAACCCAGGCGGTGGACGCACGTGGCCAACGATTACGATTTGCAAATAGTCAAGTCGTCGCCAATTATCTACGCGCAGATGCCGTTCTACGCGAGCTACCTGTACGACACGACGGTCATCACCAAGTTCATATCGACCGTGCGTGGCATATGCAAGCAGTACGACGAACGAGGGCTGCCCAACTACCCGTCGGGCATACCGTTCGTCTATTGGGAACAGTACCAAGAGCTACGGCAGTACCTGTGCGTGGCCATGGCGTTCGCGTTCCTCTTTCTGTTCCTCATTGGCGGTTTGTTCCTGTGCAACGTCCGCGCCGCCCTCATATCGTCGTTCATGTCGGTCGTGTTGGTCATCCAAATACTGGGATTCATGGGATTTGCCGACATCAAATTTAGCGCCATACCCGTAGTACTGTTGATCGGCACCGTCGGTACTGGCGTGACGTTTACCATTCACCTTTGCCTGGTGAGTACCACTTACAATATCTATCATTCAAACCTAACTTGTCCTAAAAAAATCATCCTCGCCTCCAAACTCTGACCTAACCTGAAGTTTTCTCATATTGTTGTATTTTATTAAATTAAATTAATTAATTTGTTTTTTTTTATCTTCAACAGAGTTTTGTCACTAGTATTGGCAACAGACACAGAAGGACTCATTTGTCGGTAGATCACATGTCCAAAATGGTCCTTCAATCCGGCGCTACTCTTATCATAGCCGTCATAATGTTGGTTTTCCAAAACAACTATGTTTCTAGGTAAAGTAGTCAACATTAAAAAATTAAAAAACGATTTAATTCGTACACTGTGTCTAACATGAAATTATGTTCCTTACAGATCATATTTTCTTTTATTAACGGCGAAAACGGTTTTCGGTCTATTCAACGGGCTTATTTGTTTACCAGTGTTCCTTTCTATGTTTGGACCGCCACCAGAGGTAATAAAACAATATATTTAAAAATATTTATGTAATATGATGTTATGTGATTCACGTTAATAAATGTTGTTCCCATTTACCAAACAGATAAAACCGCTGAAGTACGCAGACCGAATAAGTACACCGTCGCCAGAACCGATTAAGAAGCGGGCTCGTTACACGAGCGTTAGACAATCGGTGCCACCGCCGCTGTCGTCACGGTCGCATCACGGTCACCAACAACAACACCACCACAAGCATCATCACCAGCAACAGCAAAACAACACTGGGTCGTCAAAGTTACACGGACTACACTTTGCACCCAGGGACGGATCGCTTTCTACCATTGCCGAAGAATCCGGTTCGTATCATTCCGCATCGATGGCTCAACTGGAAAGATCCAAATCACAAGTAAGGAGGAGACTAACACCACAGTTGTTGTACTATTTTGTAATGTATTGTACTCACCGCTTATTGCAATTTTTTTCCATTTTAGATGTCTTTATCGCGGTCTCCGTCCCCGTCTCTCCGGTCCGAATGCTGTAGTACCGACAGCAGCTCCGAAGACGATGCGCCCCAACAAAGAATTGCTGCACAGCCCGCGCTTTCCACTTCCAATTCGAATCAGACCTCTGCCCCGACCAGGTGCATAGTAACTGCCAAGTTCGAGTTGGAGCTAGACGGCAACGTGATGAGCGCCGCTGCTCAGCCACGTATCCACAAGTCGAAACACCATCACGGCAGCAATCGTCAGTCGTCGAAACGGCACAAACGCCATCATTCAAACTCCTCTCGGTACTGAGATAATGTATGACAAACTCCTCGTGCAATTTGTTTTGTTTTGTTTATTTATTTTTATTATATACATATTTTTTTTTTAATGTATAACGAATTCGCCAAAATTCTTATCCATTTCATCTAGTAAAAATGCTCAAAAATTTATTTATTATTATTATTATAATTATAATACTTTCATCATTATTATTGTATCGCGGTTAGGTTTTATTTCAAAGATAGTTGTGTATTATCAGATATAGCTCTCTTTGTTGTAAGCTCTAAAAGACTGAAAATTGATGAGTATAGTCTTGATAAGACTTATTTGTTTTGTATAACTGCTCTATTTTTTATGTTTTAACCAAATACGTTTTTAAACGGTTCAATTATTATTATTATTATTATTATTTATTAAGTAATCGAGGATATATTTTCTTTATCCTCCACTGAAATTTCTATATTATATTAGGAGAACCCTACCCTACCCCCTTCCGGCAAGTTTCTTATATTATTTTTGTATTATGGAACCTAACTATTTTGCTATTAAAATACGATGCACGGTCCAAGTTACATTTTTGTTAAGCTTCAAATAATCTAGTCAACTTAACATTAAAAAAAAAAATTGCATTATTTTATTTATTTATTATTATTTTATATACTAGTTTAATCGGTCACAGTAAAATTCAACAAACGATTATTATTTCAACGATAAATAAATATAATGTTTATTAAGAAATATATATTATATTATATAAATGCGTAATGTGTATATCGTTCCTAATTATCGTTTTATTATTTTTGTTTTTTTTTTTTTTACTATCAACTACATAGATATTAAAATTTGTATTTAATTTTAATCACACACAATACACATTCCTTGTATTATGTTAAATATACAATGTAATATTATATATTACATTTTGTGCTCCAAACATTTCAAATCATTTCTATAGAAACAATTTTATCAAGTCACAGTCCATAATAACCCAACACGAGAGTAAGCACAAAAAAAAAAATTTGTGTGCGAATATTATATCGACATAGATATTTTTCTTTGAATATATAAATTTTTTTTTGTATAAATATATAAATTCCAATACAATTTTGTACCATTAATTGGACGTTTTCACATTTCCATTATAGTTCTTAAAAATCTTATTTATTTTGTATTTATTTTTAAAAAATGTACACACTTTTGTATAAAAAGAGAAGAAAAAAATGTAGTTTATAAAATATAACCAAAGGTCTATGTTAATATTTAATGGAGCTGTTTGTTTTATTTTTTCAACTTATTTTTACGGATTTTTACCGAGTTATTTTTGACTGAATTGTATAAGAGCGGCTTAAATGCAATGAAATTATATTGCCATACTAAATCTTACGGCAGGTCGATTTGGAGTAGAAATGGACAAAACTGTATTCAAATGTAAGACTCGATATATCATGATTTTTGACCTTACTAACTCTTTCCTAAAACCATTTATTATAAATTTTAGATTGCCCACCGATACAATTTGCAGTTCTGTACTTTGGCACGGAACGGGCGCTAGTTGTAACGTCTTCAATGAAAATTATACTACTAGCGCCAGTCCCGTGTCAACTTCCAGAACTGAAAATTGTTTCGTTGGTCTTTGTATAATAATTATAATAAATGCCAAAACTCATTCTTTAATAAAAAATTATGAACACAAAATCATTGTATGCAGGTAAAAATATTATTATATTTATTATAATAGATAATAAATCTATTTTAAAATATTTTTTTTTTGATGCTTAGTCAGTATTGATTTTTTAAATAATTTCAACAATATTTGGTATAAATTGTTAATAGTTTAATTTGAACAAAATAACCACTGTAGACAAATTACAATTTTATTGTATTAAAAAAGTGAATGGATGTTTTCTACATTTTTCTTATATTTCTAAAAAAAAAAAAAACAATTCTATAATTGTGGTATTATAATACGGTGAAAATAATTATGCAAATTTATATCCTCTGTCCTTGTACGCTACTTGACCAGTTCTAAGTAAATTTTCACGGCGGTCCTAAAAAATAAAAAAAAATAATGTAAATGTAAAATTTTTGTTTTGGATTTTACTATCCTAAAGAAATTTTCAAATAAGGATTTAAAAAATCCGTTAGAAATACAACATTTTTGGTTACTTTAACCTGTGACCTCTTTGAAGTTAAATTTTATTTGAGCTGTATTAAATGTCAGAAGCATAATTTATTTTATCAGATAAAATTTATATTCAAAACAACATAGTCTAATGATTTGATAAGGACATTTGAGTGAAATGGTTTCTCCATTAGCATTTGTTCCATACAATTTTATAAAATAACCAAAAGAGTAATTATTAATATATATTCATGATTGAATACAAGATACGTACACGTTCTTTTTTAATGAAGTACGTCAAAGCACAATAAGGTACGATGATAGTCAAAATTCCAAGAACCGAGTTCTTAGTAGTCGGTCGAAAGAATTCGTTTGAAGTGGCTTTCATCGACATGAAACGTTGAATTCCCTCGTCGAACTACAAAGATAAATAGTAGTGATATTAATGAAAAAAACTTATTAGTTTTGTAAAATTTCATTTAAATTACCATAGTACCGCCTTCCATTTTGGCATTTCGTAACGGATTGGACAAGTTCTTGATGTATTCAGTTTTTATAGCGTTTCGCATTTCATTTTTTTTCCGAATGATTTCCGGATCAGTGATCACCTTGTACGGTGCCCCGTGAACATTCATTTTTTAAACAAGATTAAACCCTAAGTATAAAATAGAAATAGTTAAAATTCAATAACAAAACGCATATAGTTAATGCGAAAAGGCAAAATCCAAAATGAAGAATATGTTTTAATGAACTGTTATCTCTTATCACAAGATGTTTGAAGGTTAAAAGTTAAAAAACAGTGCAGCTGATAAACGGGTAAATGTCTACCAGTCCCAAAGCTCTTTTGTACCACTATAGTGTTATTATTAAAGATTTGTGATATGGTGTTGTTTCAATTGATAATAAAAATTAATTTTTAGAAATTGTAAAACAATTTCATGTCTTAAGACTTAAATCAAGTGAAAAGCTTTTAAACCGTTATAATTATTAGTCTTATGCGTTAAACTAGGTATGTTAACACGTTCATAAAATATTTTAAATGTATTTAGCTGTACTTAGTACTTTCTACTTTTTAACATAAAAAAGTAAAATCTTTTAAAAAAATATACCAAAATGAACACTTTTGCTTCCAAAATGAATGTCCTGTGTAAATGGTCATTATGGGTAAGTTAATTTTTTAACGCTACAATCGTTTACCAAAGTAAATTTTCAGTAGTTCATTTTCTTTTTGTAAAAATTCAGTTATGCCATTTGTTTGAGATCAGCAAAACCATACTACAAATGTGTTTAATTCTTACAGAGCAATTACAATACTTATTTTGTTTGTCGTATTGTGGCCAATAAGTACTCTCAAAATATTGGAGCAACTACAGCAAAGTCTAACCAAGACATTTTGAGAAACCGTCTTATTTATCAATCAAGAAAGAGAGGAACACTAGAGAATTGTATCATCTTCACTACATTTGCTGATAAGTACTTGTGTGATTTCGATGACTCACAGTTAAAGAAATATGACGCATTAATAAATAGTTCGTTTGACGAGTGGGAATTGTATGCATGGGCTATAGGCTCCAAACCTATTCCACAAGAATTTGACAATGATGTAATGCAACTCTTGAAAAATCATACGACCAGACAGAATAAGAGATAAAAAGTTGATGACAATTTTTAGTCTAGTTAAATATTATTATCTATTTATAAATGTTTTTGTTAAAAATATCATTATTTGTTCACTAATCAAACAGTATTTTTTTTTATAGTATTAAGGTTACCATTTGTTGATTCAGTAGTACTGGCTTTCAGCACATGGTCCTGGTATCTTTTGTATAGGTACTACAAAACTGTTAAATGATTGTTATGCAAAACCATAGATAATAATCTTTTTCTTCTTCTTTATCTTTGCCTTACACTCCTACAACTACGTGGGGTCGGCCACCCTAGTCCTTCATTTCCATAAAGCTCAGTCTTCTACATCTCATTCTAACCTAACCTAACCTAATCTAATCTAACACTAAAATCTTCCGTTTCTCGACACACACACACTCTTCACTCTTGTACTTGCCTTTATTACACATAATAATAATAATAAATAGGAATATTAATCAACTCGTTTATAATTATCACAAAAATTGTTAAAAAAAAAAAAAAAAATTAGATAGTATAAAATTGTGGAAAATGCATAATGTATGATTTATAAATTGATTGTGTCCATTTATGGAGTTGGAAAAAATAATGCTGCCACACAAGAAGCTTCACATACACCAAAAGCGGTGTTGCAAGCGGCTAAAGCTGGTGTAGCCGCTATTACTGCTCCAGGTACGGTTCCAAAAGTAAATCCTGCTGCAGAAAAGCATGCTACAGTCACTGCAGCACACCCTGCATAGCAAATTCCTGTTCCAATTGGGCCGGCCTGGACGACGGATGAAGATATTAAAAGAAGTGCCATGAAAAAAAGTGTTACTTTAGCGGAAGACATTTTTGCTGAAAACAGAACAATATACCAATAATACTTAATATAAGTATGTGCTTGTTTGACTTAAAACAAGCTAAATAAAAGTTAAACTTTGAGAGAAAAAACATTTTCTAGGAAAATTTATTTTGAAGTAAAATGTTCATTTATGTTAATAGCAAACCGCATAAGGAGACAAACGATTATTGTGATGAGATAAAATTGGACTTTTTTTTTTAAATACTTATAACATAAGCATTTTCAAAATAATAAATAATTTAAATTCAATTCATCTTATAAAATTTAATGATATTTTTATTTATAAATATTAGGAATACATTTTTATTTACTGTTTTAAATAATAAATCATTTTTTATTTAAGTTCTTATATAAATAATGTCTCGGGATGAGTAACATAAGTGAATATAGTCTCAAAATGTAATTTTTACTGTGTTATTGTTTATTTAAACTCTATATTATGTATCTAAATTTAAAAAGAAATGTATTGTAAAAATAAATGGAAAAAATGCTGTACCATTCTACTTTATAAATTGTATTTAAAATGTGGTTCACCTGAAAAATTCACTTATCTTTTATATCAATATATGATTTTAATATAATATTTTATATTAAAATAATATAATATATAATATTTTAATATTGTATTTATACAATAGTAATGAAATATATTGTAACAATATTAATAAAACAGATTAATCAATTTTTGCTGTCTGGGTAATTAAAAAATTTGATTAGGTTACGTTATTCATTACATTCATTAATAAATAATATAATATATATTTCAAAACAATTATCGATTAAGTTGTAGTTTTTTCACTAATATTTCTATAATTTTAAAATTATATCCGAAATTAACATACATATTTATAACAATTTATTAAATCCAGTTTATTTTAATGAGAACAGGAATTGTTTTTATTAATAGTATATTTTACAAAACAAAAAAAACGTCGATTTTTATAAAAATTTGAGTTTATTTTTAAGTTATTATAAGTATATTATATTTAAAATAACGTCTGGCATTTATTTATTTCAGACTGCACACAAATTAATTTATAACTGTTAAATAGGTACTATAATGTGAAATGAGAAAAATGCAAACCAACACCTTATGGATGTAATAAAAAAATCAAAATTACTTAAAAATGTATGGTTAGACGAAGATTTCTGTATATTTTGCTTTGAAATTCAGTGATCCGACACGACGCTAGACGATAACGTGTAAGCACTAAGCAGACTATAAAAACACAGAATAAATGAAATCTGAATGTAAACATTGATGATTTAACCTTGGAAGTATAAGACGCACATCTATGACCTTCGGCCATTTTCTAAGGGGTTGTTCTTTTATTATTACACATATATCTATATCAAAATATATAAATATATATATAATTCATTTATTTCGGACCACGCAGAAAATAGCTGCCGTTTTTTGTTTACACACTACCTTTCCATTTTGATTTCATGTACACTGTGCTAATAGTGTTCTTGGTCGAACCTCATTCCCATCCCCATCTCGAAAATTTTAAGAAACTTGAAGGGGAAGGGGTGGATTGTGTAAATGTTTACACCATACAAAATACGAGTAGACAGAAAAAAAATAGTGTTGAAAACATCAAATATTGACAATTTATAAAACGGTCAAAACAAATTTTTTACTAATCAAGTAAGTCTTATATAAGTCTTATATAGTCAATTTCTGTCTTCCATTTCATGCATATTTTTAAGTAGCAAAATCGTACATTTAGGTCTATATTTTCAAAACAATATCGCTTTGGCGCTAAACTTCATTTGTACCTCAGTTTTTATAGTAGGAAAAATGGTGTTTGGTAAAATTGGCAATAACCCGAATTTTGTGATGTCATCGTCACCATAGATAACAGATATAAAAATATAAAATTTATATTATAAATCATATTTAATATTATTATAGACGACACAACGATTTTAACGGTAATCAAATTCTGTACTAAATCTTTTTGATCATTCCATTTCGATTGTGCTTTTGTAATTTGAAACTTTGTATGCACTTGTAGTTGTAGTTAATTAATACTTATAACTACAATTTTAGATTTAATGATTGGATAAGAATTATCTTTCAAAGTAATTGTTATTTCTTATCGACTAATTAGTCCTACCAAGTATTTAGGTATACCATAAACATGGATAATAGTGAGATGTTTAGTGAAGACCAACTCGAGCCGTCCCTTAAAAATGTTATCGACCAAGAGACACTAAAATGGATTTTTGTTGGCGGTAAAGGAGGTGTTGGTAAAACGACTTGCAGGTAAATAACAGTACCCGGTAGTAGTAAAATAAAGTCTGATATATTATTATTTTCATTTTTCAGCTGTAGTTTAGCTATCCAATTGGCTAAGGTGCGTGAATCGGTTCTTCTCATTTCGACGGACCCCGCACATAATATATCTGACGCTTTTGGACAACAATTCACCAAAGAACCTACCAAAGTAGATGGATTCAACAATTTATTCGCAATGGTATGAAGAATATAGTAGGTGAAAAATGGATTATTTTTGTTCTGACTCTGATTTAGGAGGTAGATTCATCTGGTCACGATATGGTAATGGAGGACTTATTGAGCGGAGATGATGATTCTGATACTGTGCGACTGGGTAAAAGCATTTTACAAGACATTTTTGGAGCATTTCCCGGTATCGATGAATCCATGAGTTATCTCCAAGTAATGAAGTAATTTAAGTGCATTTTCAATAATTAATAGTAGATTATTCTTACATATTATGTTAAAAAAAATAATGGTATATTCACTATAATATGGTTCGTTCAAACAAAATATCAACGCCTTTTAACTCATTGAAGAGTGTATTAAAAATACAAAATTCCGGAGCAATGACGTATATAACAGCGTAAAGAACATAATTTTCCTTGGGTCTCATAACAAAAAATAAAGAAAACAACAACACATTGTCGCCAATGTGTATAAAATGTATAAATGTATAAAAACTTATATAAACGTCATTGCTCGTCAAACGTTGAAAAAAAAGTAAGATAGAAGATTCAAGTTAATCCATAAAGATAAGCTATGGAAATTATTGCCTACGCCAAATAGCGATTTTATAATCGATATGATATTACTAGTTAAAACCAATGTACTTATTATTTTCTACTTGAAATTAAAACATAAATGTAATACTACTAGAATAATATTTATGTTTGTTATTAATAGGTTGGCGAAAAATATGAATTTTTCTGTTGTCGTATTCGATACAGCTCCGACTGGTCACACTCTGAGACTTCTAACATTCCCCCTGATAATTGAACAAGCATTAGGAAAAGTATTAGAACTAAAAAACAGGGTTGGCCCTTATTTGAATCAAGTGTTAATGCTATTTGGCGCAGGCATCAACATTGACAATATATCAGCAAAGTTGGAAGAATTATTGGCCACTATTAAGACTGTAAATCAACAGTTTAAAAATTCAGTAAGTACATTAAAAAAATGTATTAGCTTTTATAAGTTGTTTTGACGCTTAAAAAGTTGGAATTAAATCAATTGTAAATTAGGGTGCCTAAGTCAGCCTATCAAAGTAGTGATATCTACATTGTGGCTAAGTCTGCTATTTCTTTAGTTCAAAACCTCCCTCACTTCACTACAACTTTCATGAGCAACACTTCTCTTTTATTTGTATTGCTTAACACTTGGCCAGTTTTTGGCCACAATGTAGGTATCACTACTTTGATAGGCTAACTTTTTTGGGAGGGGGTCTCGAACTTGGTCCTTTTTCACTGTCAGGTTTTTATTGGATATACTAATAACAGCATCAAATCTGTAAAATTACTAAATAAATGTAAATAACTCTAACTAATGTTGAAAAATATAAATTATTTTTAATTTATAATTAAAATTAAAAGTTTTCAATTTTTAGGATCAAACAACATTTGTGTGCGTGTGTATTGCCGAATTCTTGTCATTATATGAAACCGAAAGACTGGTACAAGAATTAACTAAGAACGGAATTGATACTCATAATATTGTCGTTAATCAATTGTACATGAAAAATGGAGATTCCGATCCAAATTGTAAAAAATGTGCGCTTAGACGTGCATTGCAGCGCACATACCTTGAGCAGGTAAACATTGTGATATTAAATAATTATTTTGGCAATTTTCTAATAGAGTACTGTTTAATTTTTCAGATCAGTGATCTATATGTCGACTTCCACGTTACGAAGCTTCCACTATTAGATAAAGAAGTCAGAGGCGTCAAAGATATTTCTGAGTTTTCTAAGTATCTAGTTACTCCAAATTATGCGTTTAACGTGAATAAATAGCAGTCGTTGTTTTAACATTTTGTCCCTTTATTTAGCTTATTTTGATACAAAGCAGTAATATATGTAAAAATATATATTTTTTTTCATTTTCTTATCATTCTGGTGTATTCATTGTCTTCACTGTAAAAAATATTTAATTATTAATATATTTTGTGTTGAATTAATTGAAACATTCAAATTAAGTTGGTCGTAAATAAAAAAAAAATTTAAATCTTTAATTTTGGACTGATAATTATTTTATAAACCTATTGAATAAATACATCATTTACAGTTCTGACTGAGACTCGAGGTCAAGAGTTCAAGAACTTAATATTATATTGTTTGTCAGTTCGATGCGTAATAATATTGGGTACAATATTATTGACTGGTGTAAGACGGAGAGTACACAATGTATTTTTTATTGTTACTCAATCAGTCGCTATTTTGGTAATTACTTCTTTTGGTACTACATTTAATGTCATATTACATTACAAAACCTACAAAATTAAATTGGCACTACAAAAACCAAATACTTAATTCAGGGGAACGGACATTCAAAATTTAACACGGTGTATATACTCAACACTAAAAAACGTGACGGTCAAATGATCTCATCACGATAATAAAGAATTATAATAAAGTTCTTTATAATGGTGCTTCTAATTAATCAATCAGTATAGTGTTAATTCTATACATTAGTCACAGAATAACTTGAGTAGTTTGTACCAAGCAGTAATTTCTCAATACTCATGGACATGTTATTAATTTTTTATGTGTGATAAGAAATAAGTGATAAGCACGGTAGAATAATATTATGAAAAATAAAACATAAAACTTATTATTCATAGCACATAAAAAAAATTAAATAAGATTAACTCGTTAGCTGTATTATAACTATTTTAAACTTATATTGTTATTACTATTATCTAAAAAGAATCATAAAATAAACAAATATTATGCTTCATAAGACGTGTTCAGTATCTTGTCTGTTGTTCAAAAACTTAATGATCCGTCCGGTGTTAAAAATGCACGCTTCGTCGTTGGATGCTAAAATGATGAACAAAGTAATGGGTCTCCGTAAAAAAACTAAGTATGTTCGTTAAATCAGTTTTAAAAATTAACACAATTTCATTAATTATATAATGAAGATTATATATATTTAATTAGGAAAAAGAGCTGGTATCAATCGACTGTCGGAGCTAATAGGTCGTTTGAAGATATCATTAAACAAACGACTAAGAACGAGTCTGGTCGTAATACTAACAAGCGAGTAAATATTTTAAATAATATTCTAATGAAAAATATCACCGACTTAATGACTGCTGGTGAATTATTTGATAAAATCTTTGGATATGGTCTTGAAATAACTAAAGTATGTATTTTATTGAAGTTTATTTATTATTTTTCAAGTAAACATAATAGTAGAATGGTACATTTAGGTTAGTATTTCAAGCGATTATAGATTTGTCAAAGTTTTTTGGATGTCAAAAGCATTTGAGGATGAGGCCAAATTAGATGAATTACTGAATAGCATAAGTGGTGCGTTGAGACATGAATTATCCAACTTACAAATCATGGGCGAAGTGCCAGTGTTAAAATTTGTTAAGGGTAATACTGATAAGTCTATGGACCATGACTGTCAACTAAAAATGCATTGCAATAAACTAAAATATGACTTTATTTATAGATAAGACTTTTGATAATATTAAAGCAGTCGATAATTTATTAAAGAAAGCAGATTTTGGAGAAGATTTTGTGCCAACCTGTCCTACATTATTGAACAAATATGAAACCATTTACACAGTTATTGAACCAGAATTAAAAGTAATACAGCAGTAAAAATGTTGAGTTATTTGTCATGTATTAACCAAGTATTATTTTTAGGTAAGAATAAATGATCTAGAAGACAGTGAAAATATAAGCGAGGAACAAGAAGAATTAATACCTCCGATGAAAATGGACGTTATGGGCTTAGATCATGCAACAATTATGTCTAGAGTAAGATAAATTAATTTCTTTAACAATAAATGAACTTTACACTTAAGAATTACTTTTTTAATGTTTGTAGATAAATGCATCTCTTCAAAAATCAAAAGCTGTCCATCGGCAATCAAATAATACACAGAACGTTATGAAAAATATTGGTACTTCCAACTCTGAAGAAGAGCCACAATATATGTCGTTTAAAGATTTTGTAAAAAAAAGAAGAATTCAACAAGCCAAAGCATATTGTAGCAGAAGAAGTAGATCGATCGAGAGAGACATGTATGAAGAAGACCTGAGGTCATTTTATAATAATAATAATACGACTGATGAGAATTTAGTAGACGATGAATACCCTTTTAATGTTTAATTAATACTCATTAATGTTACTTTTGTCGTTCTTTGTATTTAATAAATGTTTGTTTTAATAGTGTTTATCAGTAACGTTGGTCATTTTTAGAGATTGGATATTATGTTATGTAGATTGTATCGAACTAACTTTCGGAATAAGGCCGTCTTAGTGACTGTGGCGGATACAGAGTCATTGATGAACAGATCTTGTACACTCTCGTTGTCACAGTTACAACGCCCAGAGTCAATTTTTGGTTTACGTTTTAAATTGACATGACGACTAATCATTTTTAAAAAACTTAAAAGAAAGCCACACCACCTGTATTTTGGCTGTAAAACTCGTTGTGGGGGAACAAAGTTTTTGGGTTATACTCGTAGTAGATTTAAAACATTTTTACACTACACAGAGAAGAACTATCTGTGTCGAAGTGTTTTTATTTTTTTTTTTTATAACTAATCACAATCCAAATTATTCATTCGTAAAATTTGTTTGTTTTGTTTGTTTATTAAGTTAGATAGTATTAATATTACAAACGCTGTGGCATAAATAAAGTTTTCTTCTATGTATTGTGAAAATTTTGTAATTTTACTGTGAATGTTAGCCTAATAATTTTTTCTTTCACAAAGCAATTTTGATGCGAAAAAAATTGTAATTTATATTTTATCCTATAGACATGACCGTGATAGTCTGACAAAAAAAATGACAGAATAAAGAATCTTCATAACTGTATTAATAAGGAATACAGTATAGTTCAAGCCCTTAAAGTTTTAGCAAAAAATTGTTTATACTTTACTCCTTAACAAAAGCCATAGGAGGAATTTTGTCCTCTTAATATTAATGTTAAATACTGATGAACGTTGGTTACGTTGGCTTAATTTTTTTTTTAACAATGAGCATTTTAAGAATATTGCCTAATATAATATTTACTATTTAGGTTAAATACAGTGAAAAACTAGTATGAAAATTGAAAAAAATATGAAATATATAATTTGTTATTCAGTACATATAAGTTAAAACAGTTTTATTTTTTTACAAATTGATTTATACATTGTAACAAAAACTAAATGTCACTGTTCATTAACATTTGATAATTATGCCGTTGGTGGAAATTAGGAACAATGTCGAGTAACCATTCTTTATCGATCACAGTAATGTATCTCATGTATGGTTGACTAGTTTCGATAATTTCTGTGTACAGAACACAATGAGGATAAGAATGAAACAAAGTTGACGTTGGATGAATTTTGCATTCTTTTTTAGCATTGACCGTTATATATTTTTTGTCTTGCGTTATGTAGGCTAAGTTTTCGAAAAACCCAGTCAACAAACACTTTCTTATGGGATCAAAATTATCCCCACATGATTGACCAATAGGTAAGTGTAAATATCGACATATGTCCAGCAATTGTTCACGAGCACGTTCCGCATATTCTAAATTACGAGCATTTATAAAATTGTCATCACACCAGCTGTTTTTAGATTCTTTTCTTATTTTTCTATAGGATCGGAATGTTTTTAATAGCATTATATGGTCGCTAACGGACGATTTAAATTTTGCATGAGCGTCTTCTGCTTGTTTCTTTTTCTTCTCAGACAGACTGGACACAAAAAGAGAATCGGTCGATAAGATAGACACTATATTGACAACGTCTTCCAAACATCCGTAATTTACCGACGAAAGTATTATTTTTGAATACCTTGGATCTAAAGGAAATTTAGTCATTTTATGACCAATTTCAGTAAGAACTTTGTTTTTGGTTGCTCCTAAATTTTCTAACATTTTATATGCCTGATCGATTGCCTCCGATGACGGTTTGTTTATGAAATCAAATTTATATGGGTCCATGTTCATCGCTAGTATTTGTAGCACTACATTTCCCAAATTACATCTTAGAATTTCTGGCACTGGATCTTGAGTCATTTCGTCATATTGCTTTTTAGAATACATTCTATAACAGTAACCATCCGACTCACGACCAGCTCTCCCTGCTCTTTGTTCAGCTTGAGCCTGTGATATATTTTCAATTTTCAGCGCGTCCATTGATGTCTCTGGATGAAAACATCGAACTTTGACTTTACCACAGTCGATAACATATTTTATACCAGTTAGAGTAACTGATGTTTCGGCTATGTTGGTACTGAGTATGATTTTTCTAGCGAATTCGTTTGCTTCTAACGGCATGAAAACTTTTAGCTGCTCATGCGTAGGCAAAGACGCATAGAGAGTTCTTACTTTGATGACAGGGTAACTTCTTAATGAGGGGTCTTGATTGATATGCTCAATTGCTAAAGCCATATTTTCTATTTCTTCTTGACCAGTTAGGAAAACCAAAAAGTCATGACGTTCGGGTGCTTCTTTATGTAACTGAAATATTGTTACGAACGTATCATGAAAATAGTCTTCTACATTTTTTTTGGCATGGAATATGTTGATATTGTGTAACCTACCTTGTAAATAAACAATTTGGGCATTTCCAAAATAATCTGCAAATAAATCGGCATTCATTGTTGCAGACATAACAATAACTTTCAACGGGTTCTGACCGTTTTTACGACTTTTCTGGACCTTCTTCACGATGCCAAAGAGTAAATCAGTATTGACAGTGCGTTCGTGAGCTTCGTCTAATATTACGCAGCCATATGCAGATAAACTTTTTTCTAATATAGCCGTTCTTAATAACATACCGTCGGTCATAAATTTAATTTTCGTGAACTGGCTGGTTTTATCTATAAATCGGACACGATAACCGACTAAGTCTCCAATTTCAGTATTAACTTCGAATGATACACGTTCTGCTAAAGATATAGCTGCTACTCGCCTAGGTTGAGTGACTACAACGTCTTCGTTGGAACTCAATATGTGCTCATAGACGATTTGTGGAATTTGCGTAGTCTTGCCACTTCCCGTTTCACCAATGATGATTAAAGTTTCGTGTTGCTTAATTAAGCTACAAAGTTGATCTTTTTTTAGAGTGACCGGAAGAGTCTTCCGTTCATCGTCAAAATACTTGACTAAATCTTTTTTACTAAAATCGTTCATGGTTGAAAATTCTTAAAAGAAATATTTATTGAAAATTAATTTATTTGAATTATTGCAATTTTATTTATACTTAAATCTACACGTGAAAAAAACTTAATTATTTAATTAAAATTTGTTCACAATTTTAAATAATATTTCAAAACGATTTACGACACTATATTTTCAAACTGTAATATTAATATTACAATAATAATAATTTTTTATTGTCTTGTTGTTACTTGTTTTTGGTTCTTATCGACATTCAAAACCATGTGTCGATTTCCATCAAACTGATAGTATCTTAGTTCGTACTTCTTATCACACGAAAGAAATTGTTTGAATGATAACACGCAATTTATGATAAACTTATCAACTATTTGTGTTTCGTCAGTAATCAGTTGTTATCATTTGTTGGGATTTTAGTTTTTGTTTTTCTCAAAAGCTGTCGGGTTAAGTGTTCAAGTCAAACTTTGACGTTAACTTCAAAAGATTATGGTTTAAATACTAAGTTTCTGTAAACTCTTAGTAAGATCTCTTATGTATAAACAATTCCTTTTACAGTTATGTTATTTTAGAGATCTAAATTGTTCGTATTATACCTAAATTTCAAATTTCACAATGAGTATTACAAGATTACAAGTAGATATTAAAAGGCTTTTGGCAGTATGTGAAGATATGGCTCAGAACAATTCTTCTGATGACTGGCGATTAAGCAAGGTAACTTCATTTTACTGGAAATCATTTATGTCAAATGTTAAGTAGCCTGAAATGTATAACTCGTTTTGGATTTGTGGCAAAAATATGCATTGCTAAAACAAAAAATAAAAGCTAAACGATATTTGTTATAAAATTTGTTAATATAATTACATCAACCATTTTATTATTATTTTTCTATGTTTAAAAACTGTTTTAAATAATTTCAATCCTTGCTTATTTGTTTTTATTATTTTTATTTGATGTTATTAGACAGTTATTACATTTTATGATATCATGGCTTTATTTTGGTTTAGTACCATAATATAATAATTAAATATTATTTTAAAAATACGATGATATTTATACATTTTTTTAGTACATAGAAGCTGTTAGTGAAATGATTGCAGAACTAGTGAAAAAAAGGTAAATAATGAAATTCAGTGTAAATGTGTTTTCTTACTAATAATTAATTATAAGCATGTATACAAACTACGCTAAACTAGTATTTTAATTTTTGTAATTTACTTAATATTTACTATTAGTAATCCTAATACATTGGTGTTATTTAGTGATCCTGATAACGATACACTTAATCAATATACGAGGAGAATGCAATTTTTGAAAGGATTTTTGAATACTAAAGACATTGTAATTAGATTGTGATTTCACTTAAAACTTTTAAGATGTACAAATACTATACTAATTATTTTATGTATACATTTTTGTTTGATTTTGATTTAGAAAAATACAGAAGACAAGTTGGTAGCTTTAGAAATGTTAGAACCAGTTCAAGTGAATAATAGTCGTTCGAAAGATATAAAACAGAAATATAAAATGACTTATACAAAACAACTCAGGGAAGAACTACTTGGAAGTAAATATATGTTTTATTTTATTTTAAGTATGAATAATTGATTATTTACATATTTGCGTTTTTAGGTGATACAAGTGAATCAAAATCTTTCAGACAACCAGACGTAGAAAGTAATGATAATGTAGACGAGTTACTGAGACATCATCAAAATAAACAAGAGTCCATCGCCGAGGAGTTAATGTCTATTACTAAAAGTTTACGGGAACACTCTGAACTCGCTGGAAAAATAATAAAACGGGACATAGAAGTAATAGTGCGCCATTGTAATTTAATTTTTTTTTATGCACACATTTTTCTTTTGTATAGGTGTTAGAAAGTTCGTCAAAAGGAATGGATAGCAATTTTGAAAATTTAAAACGCGAAGAACAAAGGTTATCGGATTTTGTGAGAAAAAGTAGTTGGAGGTGTTGGATATGGATTATAGCTGTTGTTATGGTCGCTATATTTATAAGTATGTTTTATTATAATATGTATTATTGATTTTAAAACATACATTATTATAAGTGGTGCTATACACAAAAATGGCAACCAATTTTATTGGGCATCCCCACCGTCAACAGAGGTTCCCACATCAAAGTTGACCATTTGCCCATCCTTAAACTGTGATAAGCACTGCTTAACTGTATACTTTAAAAGATCAATGGAAAACTGTTTACCGTTAATCGCTTTATAAAAATGTGTTAAAAATATTTTTCAGAAATGATTTTGTTCATACGGATTACCAAAAAGAACTAAATGAAGTATATCAACTATAATAAAAAAAAATTCTTTTTCAATTCTTATCCCCGCAATACTTGTCGTTATAACAATGAAAAATTGAAGTTGAAGCAATATGATTAAAAAAGTGAAATTAATGTGTTCTATAGCTTCTATTCATAAGTTATAGCAGAATATTTGGTTCGGCTTTTAGTAATTTATACACCAATTATTTTATTAAAACATTTTTGTAATTTTTTAGAGAAAAATATATTACGGTTATTGGAATTGTTAAATTGTTATTATGTTTTAAATAAATACTCTTTTATAATGTTAATTCGTAATTTGTAACACTTATTTTCAACAAGTTTAAAGTTCTGAGTAAGTTTGATGATATGTCAAAAAAGTAATCTACTTATTGTTAAACCCAACATTAAAATTAATTTGGACTTTTTTTTAATGAGTTATTGAAGTAAAAAAAGGGGAATATTTCAAGTTTTTTCTCCGAAAATATCTTTTATATATTATTTCTGCTTGATGTATGGTAAAAAACCGATCCCGCTATTGAAATGGTCGTATAAATAAAAAAATAAAACAATTTCACAGCTTCACACCAAAGTTAAAAATCACATTTTAAAGATAATGAAAGTAATAAAAAGTTGTCTAGTAATTTGTAATCAGTTATTAGTAATTAATTAGAAACTTGGCCATTTACTTTTTAATAAATGCACAAAATGTACTTAAAAATGTATATATATATACTATTTTTGTTTATGTGCTGACGTTTCGGACCAACTGCGCAGAGTCCATCTTTAGAGATCTCTGAGCTATGTATCAAATTAATATTTCAATCAATGAAAGTTTTAAAACATTCACTTAAAAGTGAAATTAACTTTCCTGGTTTCTGCTATAATATATAATAATATACATGTCCTCCTTTTTCCAAGATCAAGTCTCATTTACCCACTATAACTATTTAACTATTGGACCTATTTCTTTATGTAAGACTTACAGATCAAAACTTGTACTCAAAAGTAATTTGTTGGTCTCATAGAGTAAAGATAAAAAGTACAAATTTGTGGGGAATATTCTTTGGATATTTTCAAAACCCAAAAAAAATAAACTTTTTTTTTTATAACTCTGTGGTGTATTTTTTATATTTCCGGTCTGACAATTAGTCTGAAGCGATCAAGAACGACCCTACAACGTATAGATAGTCAAAGCCCAAAGGGAAATCACTATTAAACAAATTTTACATGATAAAATAACATATTTTGAGAGATAACCAAGAGATTTTTTAAAATGCGTACAGTAAGTGGTTGGTGATTTACCGTCAGTTTACATTTTCTTAAGACTGGTAAAACTTTTAAGTTTTTTCTGGATAGGATTGTAAAATGGTTTTAAATATACGCAGTACACTATGTAATATAGTATGATTCCGATTTTCAATCAGAAACTAAATAGTATATAATATAATAATTTTTCTCAGCTAATGACTCATAGTAATTCACTGTTTTAAACAATGAATACATTTTTTTTTGTGTCCCACGATATCTTCAGGAACGATTTTTCCATAGATCAGAAATTGAACCCGAAAGGGCCTTAAATTTAAAAAGTTTAACCCTTCCGTTCAGAATCAAGAAAAACACCTAAAACTACATTCATTTTTCAAACTTTTTTAGAAAAAAATAACATTTAAATAATCCACATAATATACGTAGCAATTTTTTGTATGCAGCAGTCTTCCTGGTTAAAGACAATATAGATTTAAAGTTTTGTGTAATAGAACCGACCGAACATTGTTGTAAATATTAAACTTATTTTTGCGTTTTCTATATAATAATAATATATACTTTGAATGTAGGTATTGGAGCCGTACGCGTTTACTTAGTTCTATACAATAAATAACAATCATCGAACAGTGGTAATAAAAATTTAAATCCCCATAAAGTAAACGACCCAGGGTACCCCTCCCCCCGGGGGCGAGGGCAAATGAAATCATAGGAAAAACGGCCTCTTTGTGTTTAAGGAGAGCGTTACACTACGGTTATAAGTGGTCGTGTTGAGGGCTGACTAAAGGGAATGGCCGTCGCTGATCTGGTGATTCGGTTTCAGTTGCCAGAAGCATCCCCAAGTGGTCGGTTTAGGTTTGATGAGCTATGTTCAGTTTGTTTTGTTTTTGCCGTTTTATTTTAAACCGCAAAAGTTTGTAAATTATAATAATATTATAAACGGATTCGAATGCGATGGACGAATTATTATTGACACACGACACGGTACGCGTATTGTCGGTACAAAATCCTTTTAATTGATAAATTACCGGAATAAAAATATTTTCCCAACGCTGTACAGCTGTACTACTATTGTCTTCAAGCATGTTTTTCAAAATCAAACAGTTGTTCGTGACGGTCGTTCTGTTCAACTTTTCCACAGCGAGTTGGTGGTATGTAATTAATTTTATTATGTACAATGATACTGACAAAATATAATTTATAATAATGTATGGCCCAAAAAAGTCCCGTGACAATCCAAGTCTATTTGAAAATTATTTAAACTTAAAAAAAAACTAGTACAAATAAAGGTAGCACAGTAAAAAATCAGAAAATTAAAATAATTAAGTAGAAAACTATACTAGAAAAAAATGTTTTTTTTTTGTTGTTTGTGTGTCCAGACTTTTGGGACATCAGTATGTATATATTATAATTTCTGCTTTGTTAAAGCGTGCAAAACCGAAATTAAAAATTACTTATATACCGGTTATATTATAATTTCAGGTGTGGTTACTGGTTAGGCAAAAGTACGTTAGGTACTTAGGTACCACTTTTGCTTAGCTTTTTTTTCATATTCCATTTTAAACAACTCTTAAAAGCGTCAATTGATGCAATTATGGAATAGTTTAATATGATACAATACTAATTTAAATAGTTCCACATAGAACGTGGTAATATATATTGAATAAGTTCACAATTATTTAGTTTAATTTGTAAATATTTTACATTCTATCGCTAAAAAAAATGATCAAATCGTATGTTAGGCCATTGATGATATTTTGAGTTTGTCAAGTGCATTGATGTACCTAATATTTATAAAATGTTACCTACTATGATTATTTAAACTTCTAAAAACTCACACGGTTAATATATACATTAGGTTATTTATCTTGGGGAAATTAATTTTTTAAAAATTCAATAAAAAATTAGTGCTGGTAACTGGTAACTATTAGTAACTGGTTTGGTAATTGCTTAGTTTAAAGTTTTAGTTATGCGAACACGGTGTTCAACCCTCTGTTGTTGGTAGTTAATTTTTAATGTTTTTTTTATACATGGAAATTGGTAATTATCATTTATTGTTTAACAACACAGATACGGGGAAGTCATTTGACTAATAGCCCGTGAAAAATGTATGTTTAAAAAAAAAATCTTACTTGAAAATTATATTAATTTCGTTGTACACATTTTTTGAGCCATATGGTTCTCTACGGGCCATAAAATACACACGAATGTATACCAATTTTCTGGTTGAATAATCCAACTGATAACACAAATAGGTGAAGCATTTTACCCATTATTGGCCATTACGCTGTAACGACTTTCTCCGTTATCCCTTTTATATAAAAATAAACGGGCTTCTGTTGGTAGCGATGGTAATTGTTTTTTATAAGTACCCACCATATAGTCCTTCGTTGTAAGATAGTAACCCTGCAATGGCTTTGGATATAATAATTTACATAAACGTGAAGCTTTTTTTATTTTTATTTTTAAATCACTTTTGTCTAGATCGCATTAAACCGTGTAAAACTACAAAAAATGTACAGTTATAAAATATAACGATAGATAAGTAATCAATACAGTATCAATTTCAGAGGAAATTGTCTTGTTTTTTTTTAAAAAATCTCTAAAAAAAATTTTAAAAGGTAGACCAAAGTGAAAATATAAATATTAACAAATTTGAAGAAATTATCGCCTTACTAAGAATTTGAGAGGTTCTGGTTTAAATGCTGCCGGTCTCTTTTATAATATTAAATTTCAAATCCATTATTGTTTATTGTTATGGTAAATACTATTATGCTAGTGTCCCGAGGCTGATGTAGATCAAGTTTTGTTACAAGGCATAGAAATTATTTTTTTGAAAATTTGAGGTTTATAAAGAATTTGTTATGTAAAGTCTTCTTCTTAAAAATACCTTTTAACCCTAATTCGATTACTCTACGAGGCGCCATGTTTTTTTTCTGTAAGTCGTGTTTTTGAACAAAATAATTGTTTCTTAATATTTGTGCTTATAGACACACTCAAAAAATAAATAGTAAACTTTATGCGATTATTATAATAGTGACGAGCAAAAATATTACGGTACTTATCTCTAATTTCAAAATGTATTTATTTTCTTTGTGACTTGCAGTGTGCACTAGAATCCTCTTTAAAACTTTTAAACTAAAATAGGTATTATAGATTGTTATCAAAATAATTTATTGATAGATAAATCAGCATTTTATGTATATGAGATAAAACACATGCGATCGCCTTTCAAGTCTTCATGCTCTATAATTATTATTATTATAATATCTAAATCACAGAATAGATTTAATCTAGTCATTGAGGTCTTAGTAAGGCTATAACGACAATAACAAGTTTGAAACACAGATGGTTTTTCGAATTTACTAATATTGATGCACACGTGCTTGAGATAGGCATGTTTCACAAAAAGTCAGAGTTTGGTCGACGTTGTCTCTATTTTAATTTACCTTTGGCGCATATTGTATTAGTTCTTTTCCTTGTTTATATGTAGATGTACTTATTTGCGAGGTTCGACATTTATAGCAAGTAAAAGTGCTTAAACATGCGTTATAGTATCAAGTATGTCCTAACAAATAGCACTACTTTTAAACAAAAAATTTGTTTTAATCCAGCTAATATATTTGAAGGACACAGGGGAAAAATGGTAGTAGTCACATTATGAAAATGTTAGAGTATAGAAAAAACAAAGTTTGTGAATTCCTCTCCCTCTTACATAAGAACAAAAAATATCACATAAAATGCTATTCTAATAAAAAATGTAATTATTTAAACAATCTATTGTCATTAATAAAAAAAAAATGAATGGCATATATCAAAAAAAACTATTTGGAAAAAAAAATTTTCAATAATGTGACTACTACCGTTTTTCCCCTGTGCCCTTCATTTGTTATTTTATAATTATGATTTTTATAAATGACCTTTGTACACAATGAATTGAATGTGTATACAATTTTATACTGGAGCAAAATAAAGAATTGTACTCCCAATGTGTGGTGGTTATGGAAGATACTCATTAGGTTTTTGTCAATATGTCACAGATTGAAAATGTGTTAGTTGTTCACTATTCTATGATCAAAAATCTTGGGTTTAAACAAATTGGCACTGTACCTACACTTTTGTTGTCATCAGTTAAATTACAAATTGGATGAGAATAAAAAAATATTAAAAAATATTTTTATAAATAAAAACTCTGAATTATTTATATATATATATTTATATATATAAATTCTCTATCTATTTATCTATTTATAAAAGTTATCTATTTGATTTGAATACATTTTTTTGTTTGAACGTGCCTGATATCCTGATAAAATAAAAAAATAATTAATTTTAGAAAACTGTTTTAAATTGATTGTGTAATATGTTTGAACCGTTTAATAGTTGCTTCGTGTTATAATAAATGTAGTCATTAAAAACGCTGGCGTGCAAAACGAAAATACTTGTTTTTTTTTTTTTGGCAGATCGCGCACACCGCATATTATTATTATTATTATTATACGGTGTGCCGGTGTGAAATTTCGGTGTATCTAATGTATATAGAACTTTGGTGGGCTTGTGTCGTTTTTAAAACAAAAAGGGGAGGTTAGTAATAAAGTCGTTTTTATATGTCGATCATAAAGTAGAAAAGCCGTTTACGAGCGAGAGGAGGGGCCGTTTTCTGGGGGTGCCGTTTTCAGTTTTCAATAAAGATACGGCGGCGGTGTGTGCCGCATACTATAATATGCAGCTGCACGGTCCGCAGTTGCTTTTTTCTTATTGTCGTCGCCGTACCCCCTCCCCCCGCCAACCACCCCGTTCGTACGGGGGCGGTGGGGGATATAAAATTTATAGGTTGCGAAAACTATAAAATGAGACGATTTCCAGAGAGTTTTGTCGGTGAAATTAAGTTTCCCCCAACCACCACACTGTCGTCCCATTCGCGCCACTCACGTTCACCCCATCACCGTCGTGATACGAGGCCGTTTAAATTTTATACACAACGCCGCGCCGCGCCGTGTCGTTATCACCCCGATGGCACGATGGCACGCACGCCGGCCTATAATCTTTTGCGTGCCACGTTCTTCAACGTGGACACGGCACGGTCAAAACACCAATAATACATTTTGAAGAAAAAACAAATAATAATAAATTGTCCATAATTTTAAAGAAAAAAAAACAAATTGATAAAATAATAAAAAAATTACTGGGCAACATGCATATACTTTTATAATTTAAAAAAATAACAATTTCTAACTCGAGTTCAGCGTATCAATGAAAATATGATTATATGAAGATTCAAGATAGTTATTTCTAAGTACTGTAATTTATCGTTTATTGTTTTTGAATCAACTTAAATTATAAATAGAAATCAAAGAAATACTGAAATGGTTCAATATCTTGGAATTTCAGACACGTTAAAAATATAAGTCAAATTTGACTTAAATCTTAATCGTTAACAGACACTTCACACTTTAGTTTAATAAAAAAAATTTAGTTTTTAAGTATTACTTTACTATTAATTAATTTAGTTTTTAGCATTATAAGTTATAACTTATAAGATAGGTATTTTGAGTAGTGGAATGTAGATAAACATTTTGGTTAATACTATTTGGCTAAGAGTAATTTTCAAATGTTTATTAAATCAAAATAAAAATTGAAACAAAATATAATATTCAAACCTAAATGATTTTGTCAAAATGAGTTTAGGTTAGGATTTTTTATACTACTTTTTATAGCAAGAATTATCTTGATGTAAGAAGTCTAAAGTACGGTATTTTTCACAAAAGCATTAGCTCTCTAAAGGAAAAAAGGTCATTTCCGATACGTTAATTAAAAATTAAAAGTGTACTTACCGTTTCCTCTTTGTTTTGTGTTTTATTTTACTTAAGAATAATAAATAAGAGATTGTACTTACAGACTAAGTCGGAGACTCCCTTTCTTGTAAACAGTAAAATGATAAGTAATACATAAGTACATATTGTAACAAACGAAAAATAAATTAATATTTAATGAACTGTTACTGCTTTAGATACTCCATTAATAAATATCTAATGATTAGTTCTTCGTCGAGTTCTATCTTTACAATTAAGCTTTAAGGGGAAAATGTAATTAAATTTATATACTCTCTTTTAAACAATGCTGAGAACTGATAAAATGTATAATTACTTCAGCTTTAATACACCGAATAAGAAAAAATTAAATATGACCTTATATTTGATTTAAGAAGGGTTTGTTCAAAATAATCCTTAGGATCATTAAATATTAAAAATTACATAAAAACTCTGTGATTACAACAGTTAGTGTCGATCTACTTATTCCTCTCTGGTATAGAAACAGCCAAAGTTTTTAAGTTAAAGTTTTTAAAAGTCTAGCGATATAAATTACAGTGTTTAAAAGTTTAAAACAATAAAAACACCATCTTTAAACATAATAACTTTATTAATAAAACCTTCTACAGTCTGCATTATAATGTGTTTACCTGTTTTACTAATTCATTTTTCTAATCTTCCTCTTATACAGCCTACACCATTTAACCAAGTCCCCAAATTTTACTTTTAACTCTCAATATCTAACACATCACTACAGTTTTATGAACTAAACTATTGTAAAGAGATAAAATAACTTTCAAATAAACGCTTCGGTACAGATCTGTAAGTAATGCATGGTAATAACAATAATATGCTTAAAATTGTATTTTTAGTAAAATTAGTGTGGAATACGATTTGGGGTGATCGTCTGACTATAATAATGTGTTGTCGTTGATCTTAATCAACAATGTAATGAAAATATTTTTCAGATACCTGTTGACTTTTTTGTATTCATTCACACATTGCAACCTAGAAATTTACAACGTTCAAAGTGTGATTTCCCCCTTTTTTGGGGGAGGGGGGCTTTTTAATAATAAATAAAAGTTGACTAAAATTTTATATATTTTGGCCCACTCTATATCTACCTTTTCGTCTAATTCCAGACTAAAAGTCTTAAGACTACAATACTGAAATTCAAGGGGGTCATCAAACTATTCAAGCAGTCCACTTAGGTATTCTCTATACATTGCTACTTTCCAATAAGTAGGTACAAAAATAAACATTTTGAGTTTAAACTTTGCATATTGTATTAATCATAGACAACGATTGTTTTTTAATGTCTAGCTAAAAAACCAATCTATTAAACAACTTATACGATTTATAATGTAAAAATTAGTAAAAAGCTAAGCTATAAAATAAAAAGTTAATGTTATGTTTTATGATTATGATTGTATGCTGTGTAGGAAGCTATGTGTTTCAAAAAGATAAACGTTACAAAAATAATTTCCGGTCAATAATTTACATAAAAAGTTTTTATGAGACGTGCAATGTCGACTTCTGTTTAATGTGTACACATGCTTTTACGATTACAGACACCGCTGCAGACCGCTGTTTACAAAACATAATTTGAGTAAACAAAATTAGTTTATGGACCTCCAATACTCATATTTATTGTATTATTTATTTAGTCCTATGTTTAGCACAAAGAACGAAATGTTCTAGTAACTTATTTATATAATAGGTTCGATAATAGAAAAGCATAATAAATATTTATTTAACGGACAGTAAATCAAATGTTCTGCAGGTGTAGATAAAAAATATAATACAGGTTATATATTATAGTATTTAGCATTTAGGGAATTTATTTTTTGTGATATCTCATATTTAGTTCATTTTAACAGTTGAAAAAAAATTATAAGTGAGATGTTGGGGAAAGAGTTTTTAACTTTTGAACCTTCAAAGCACCAAAAAGATGTAATTATGAACAATGAGCACTAAATAATGAACACTTAATGGATCGTATAAAAACTTCAGTATAGTCTCTAGACATAAAAAAACGATGTTTCCTTAATCCTTTCGGGTGAACTAAAGCAGAAGAAACTACAAAAACCGTGTAGGTACACATTTTGTAAATTCTCATGTTACCTTTCAGGTGTCATGTCAAATTATCGTCTTGTCGTTTTTTTATGGTTGTATTGAGAGCAGTGTAAAGATATTAATGAGTTCATATTGCAGATAATTCATTTAGCTTTAACGTAGGCACTCAACCACATAATACTACACTGAAAAAAGTATTATCTATAAAAAATAAAATAAAAACAGCTATAGAAAAACATGTTTTTTACGTAAAAACTATAAAATATACAAAACAATTAATGTTAATGGTTGTTTAAAAAATATTTCTGGTAAAAATTACTTAAAGTGTGTTGAATGTTGATATTATTGTAGCTGGTTCTTGCGTGGGTTGACAGTCCTTGGGGGTCCAAAATGGCCGGTGATTGACATATAAAGGAAAACCGAAAAGGCGGAGCCTTGTCTTAGAGTTCAAGGGGTTACCAAGCAACCATGAATACAACAATATGCTCCTGTTTTTGAATAATAATAATAATGCTATGCCGGTCTAATAAGGCCATATTATATGTATGAGTGCATAAAATAATAACCCTCGTTGAAAGAATTTACTAGAGGTACTTGGCAATCTAGTGTGTAGTATACTAATTAGCATGAGGTTTATGCCATTCAAACGCAAGATTTTTCATGTTGTTTTTACAAGTGAAGAACTAATAAAATAATTGTTATCCCTTTCAACAAAAAAAAACATTTGAAGTATCTATTTATATTATATGCAGAGTTGAGGAGAATTTTCATTGGAATAAAATATCATTCGAACGGGCTTTTTAACATTTAATTGAATCTAATATTATCTGAATAGTTTTTAAATCACGTTTAGTCTAATAAAAAAAGCATTAGAACAATTTTAGATTAAAAAATATTGGAATACTGGCTTTATTTTAAATGTTTCTTTCAATCTCAATTGTTTGATTATAGAACATTTGACAACAAACGCGTTTTTCAATCTGTGCATGTTTTACAGTTTTTAAAAGATTGTTGTAAGAAACTCTAATTGTCGGCATATCAACCACAAGAACACAGTGAAAATATAATTATCTTCTCTTGTAATACTATATAAAAAAACACTTGTATCCTCCTTTTGATTCTTATTACTTCAACATAAATGGTTATTTAATTATAATTATATTCAAATAATGCCCAACTCTAAAAATATGTTATTATTACTAGGAATAATAAATAAATATAATATATTATCAACTAAAATATAGACTCAATAGAATAAAATCTAGATAAAATCGTTAATGTACAAATAAATACCTAATCGCAATTTATTAGGAGTTAAGACCTACCTTACAATTATGACTTCTGTAGTGCCATTTATGGATGACCAAAGAAGCTCTAACACTGATATACGACGATTTATAACCTATATTCGGTAATCTTGTATCGCCATAATAAAAATGATATATAAAAATATAAAGAAAACCATTCTTGTTTAAAGTTACTATTAATTTTTACCGCCCATGTAAGGTGACCGGTTTCGGCGTTTTCATAATTACTAGCCACTAGATTATACTTAAATAATTTTATGTTTTTATTATTGTAAACGCCCATTGTATTTTCTACAGTCAATGTAGACCAACCCATAAGCGGTCAAATAATAATAATAAAAAATGTAGATATTGTCAGTAATTATAACGTCTATTAAATAAGTATAATTTGATTTTATGACTTGGTGTTTTACACAGATATTTATATATGTTGTCCAACACTCTTGTATGGGTGTGTACCTAGCGATAATTAATTGTTTTTATTGGTAGCTAATCTTTAAATCATTATTTAATATATACACTTAAAAATATTTAACTGGGTTAACTTGTGTAATTTATTATTTAGTGCAGGATATGATATTATCTCTTGAATGTTTTCAAATAATTTAGAACAATAATTATAATTTATTTAAACCATAGCATAGCAATTTTTCATTAATAAGTGCAATTCGATTTTCCAATAATATATTAAATTTTTAATGAATTTTTTGTGCCTTATGACATGCTGTCAAAAATAAGTAAAAATATTATGTGTATTGTTTATTAATTATTATAAAAAGAAAGTTTTAACATTTTGTGAAATATTTTTTATATACTTTGAATATTATAATACCGATCACAAAAGATCAGTTATTTCTTAAAATATATATTTCAAATACTAAAAACCGTTTTGTCAACAAATTAACTGTTTTTTTAATAATATAGCTAATACGAATTATTATAACTACTATTATTATTGTGGGAGCTTTGCCTAAAAATACTTGAGATAAAACAATCAATTTGTGATTAAAATCTCAATGAAAAAAGCCATCACAAGGTTATGAAAAATTAAGTTTTTTTTTCAGTGTTTTTCTTGACAATTTTAATAAAATGAATCCCCGTTGAAATGCGTGAAAATATATATTGTAGTTACAACTGACTGCTTTTATCAGGTTTTTATTTTAACTTATAGGTACCTATTATAGTAAATAATGACTCAGGTTGTACTATATAAGCTGTAACTAGTGCTCGAATTGGAAAAATAAAAGTAGGGGGATGTTTTTACTGTGAAAAAACCGCCACTTATAAAAATGAATAAGGGTAAGTTTCCCCCCCCCCCTTTCACATTTGAGCACTGGCCGTAACTATGTAACTATTCTGTAAGGTATCTTATAATTGACTATTGCCCATTTTACTATATCTGTATTTGTTTAGTTCTAAATCTCACTTTTTTTATGATAGGTACTTAGGGCTACAAAATTATCCACCCAAAGAGTTCAACCCGTTGCTCAGTCACAAGGAAAATTGTTATCGGTACACGTTTCTCAAGAGCAGACAACAACAACTGTGCGATCTCGGTGAAAAAATAATGAGTGTAAGTAAGTGTGAGTGCACGTTGCTAATGCAAATGTAAATAATTTTATTTTTCACCCCTTCCGTGTAGGTCGTCAGCGGTGGTACGAAAATGGCCATCGAAGAGTGCCAACACCAGTTCGGCGCACAACGATGGAACTGTACGACTTACTCGAACAATACTTCAGTATTCGGAAATGTATTATCATACAGTATGTATTTTTCAAATGCAAATCACGGTTATGATCTATGGATCCCTCAACAATTATTATAATAACCTGTCACGGGTAATACCGACCGACTGATGTCTGATACCGTAAACATAAGAACTTCTCGACGGTACGCATTAGTATCAGTTTGGTCGGGAGATTCCTATTTTGAATCAAATCAAATCTGAAGTAGGATGACAGAAGTTAATAATATGTCACTTTTTGACAATTTTAATTGCGTTATATTATAATAGGTATTACATGCTGGGGAGGCTAGTATTTCAAAATTACATATTGCTGATATGACGAAATAGTTTGAATCAACTTTTGGTTATTGTACTGCGTTATTAAAAAGAATATATTGAAAAATATTTATAGAAATAATAAAAAACTATTAAGGTCTGGGGTATATATTAGTACATTTTCAAGAACTTTCTTCGAGAATATACATAAACCCAATAAAACCTGTATTTTTTTTTGGGGGGGGGGGACATTTGCTGGGTCTGAAAAACAATAAAGCCCGTTGGGTGTTAAGGATAACCATAGGAATTATTTAAGACTATCTGGGAGTTGAGTGGTTTGTGAGATGGATTTTGCGTGAGCTTTAAGATCAGAACGCGAAAATTGGTAGGTCTAATGGTGCCCTAAAGAAATCCTAGTGATATCCCAAAGGGTTTCCATGCAGGAAGTCAAATTCCTCGACGATTGAGCCCCAACCCAGTTAAGTTTTTGCGATGGGGCCATTAAGGTCTACTACTCATACTGTTATTATTAATGTCGTTTACATGTTTTCTAGAAAGTAGAGAGAAATCGTACGTGAATGCCATCACTTCAGCCGGAGTGGCGTACGCCATTACCAAAGCATGTTCCAGAGGTGAACTCAACGAGTGTAGTTGTGACAACAGGATTAAAAAGAAACAAGCTAAAAAAAATTGGCAATGGGGAGGGTGTTCAGAGGTAATAAACGAAAGAGAAAATTTTACCAAAAACAATAAAAGAGACGCTAAAAAATGATTTTTGTTTTCAGGACATACATTTCGGCGAAAAATTTAGCCGTGACTTTGTGGATTCTATCGAGGACGTGGACACCGTTCAAGGTCTAATGAACATACACAACAATGAGGCAGGAAGAAGGGTATGAAAATGCGCGTTTTATTCAGTATTTCAAAAACCTAAATACTTACATCCGCGTTGTGTACAGACAGATTTGTACTTACTGTGAAATATTGTAGGTTCACTGACTACTCCGTGAACACTCCCTTGAGTGAGCATTTATTAATAATAGTATAGACAGGTATGCGGGGACCTGTCTATCAAAATTTTTTTTATTGTTCATTTAGCTGTCCATCATTTTTTATATCAAACTCCGTACGTTGTTATTCGCTATATACACGTCATATTGAATTACATGATTTTATGCTCGGTGGGTATTTAAGATTTCATTATATTGTACGAAGTATGGATGTCGATTTGAAGGAGAGTGGGGGTTTCCGTAGAAGCAACATCTTCAAAATATAATACTCTAATTCTCTTGCATTACTGATCTCTCAAATACTTTAAATTAAGTAACGTATTTTGGCCAATTTTTCGGAAATTACCCGAAGTGTAATCACAAGAATTAGATTGTATTACATAGGATAATATATCTTATAAAATAAAATCTTAATATGTTTTTTTTTTATAAAACGGTAATAGTCACCTCTTTCCAAAGGGATAAATAAATCGATTTTCAATACATTAATAAAATGTTAACCTTAAAATTCATTTAGTCGTTACATTTTTAATGAATCGTTTGTGCTGTATGACATGCTGTCAAACATATTATGAAAATTATTTATTAATTATTATAAAAAGAAAGTTTTAACATTTTGTGAAATGATTTAGTTAAAGTACTTTAAATATTAAATTGTCGATCACAAAAGATCAATTATTTCTTAAAATATATAATTAAAATACTAAAAATCGTTTTGTAAACAAATTAACGGTTTTTTAAATAATATAGCTAGTACGAATTATTACAATTACTATTATTATTGTGGGAGCTTTGCCTAAACAGACTTGAGATACAAAATTAAATTTATGATTAAAATCTTATTAAAAAAAGCCATCACGAGGTTATAAAAAATTAAGATTTTGTTTTTAAATGTATTTCTGGACAATTTCAAAAAAATGAATCCCTACTTAAATGCGGGAAAATATATATTGTAGTTATAATTGACTGCTTTTATCAGGTTTTTATTTTAACTTATAGGTACCTATTATAGTAAATAATGACTTGGTTGCAGTATATAAGCTGTAACTAGTGCTAGAGTTAGAAAAATAAGTATATTAAAAGTTAAGTTTTTGTTTTTCAATGAATTTTACAACAATTCTAAGTTCAATTAGGAAATTTGATCTGTTTTTCTGATTTACAGAAGTTAGTATTGCACTTGATTGGCTTCTTATAATTGTCTTTGAATTTTTTTTTGAAACAGATGCTGCGCATTTTTAAGCATGTTTTGCTAAGATAAAAAAAAAATAGTGACTTGTCTGATTTGTTCGTACCCTTTGGTTAATAATAATAATAATAAGGCGATAATTCGTATAAATTACCGTTTATTTTTTACAGATCATTCGGTCCAGCATGCAAAAAGTATGCAAATGCCACGGTATGTCTGGGTCGTGTAGTGTGAGGATATGCTGGATGAGACTGTCGTCGTTTCGCGACATAGGAGACACGTTGATGGTGCGGTACGAAGGAGCTTCGCACGTGCGCCTCGGCGAAAAGAAGAGAAAAAAAATTAAAAAATTGCGACCCATCAGAATGGACCGAAAGACACCGAACAAGACCGAACTCGTTTACTTGGACCCGTCTCCGGATTACTGCGAACGTAACGAGTCGTACGTTGACTGAATGATCATTTAAACATTAAAATTTTATCTATTCATAACACAACGGGGGTTTTTTTTGTTACCCAGAAAATGTGGTCAAAATTCTCAAAAAAAAAAAATAATAAAAGTTTTTCAGCTGTCTGCAACCACGAAAGAGCATTTTCATGTCTCGTTGAAGTACCGAATAAATTTAGAGTAGTGGTGGAATTATAGATAGTGAAATAGTGTATACTAACAAGCTAGTATCTAAGATGGCTACTAAACATATCAAGTTTCTGGCTTATATTTTAGTGTTTTCATAATATCTGGCCTTGAACAATTCATAGGAAATACGACCTGTTAAATTGCATTGAATTAATTATTCAGTTATAATTTGATCGTTGTGAACACAACGTATCTCTTATCTCTAATCTCTTATCAGATAACAGCGTGACAAGTTTTTGTGATAAGTTTTTCGGTTATGTGCCAGAGCTAATTCCCACCCCCAACCCCCAACCCAATAGAACTGAATAATAAATTCAATAATTCAAAGGCCAAATTCTCTATGAATTGTTTTAGGCCAGATATTATGAAAACACTAAAATATTAGCCAGAAACTTGATATGTTTACTAGCCACCTAGGATACATGAAAACACTCTTACGTGGTCGCAGATTCGACTGAAATATAGTAAATAATTTTTCTGTTTTTTTTTCAATTACAGGATGAGCATAATGGGAACTAACGATCGGGTGTGCCAAGGTTTGGACGGTTGCAGACACTTGTGTTGCCACAGAGGGTTCCAAATTCGTTTGAGAGACGTCGAAGAAAAGTGTAAATGTAAATTCATCTGGTGTTGTAACGTTGTGTGCGAGGTTTGTAAGTACAAGAAAGAAGAGTACATTTGCAATTGATTACAAGATGTATTTGCAGTACCAAAAAAAAAAAAAATATCTTTAAAAATCCCATGGACAAGGTTTAGAGGTTAGATTAACCCGGATGAAACGTGTTTGTCGATTATGAAATTTCAATACTTTTTAGACCGTAGTCTTCTGTCGCTTTCAATATTAAAAAGTGACACTTGTTTTTCCTAGTATTATAAAGATTTTGTACAATAAGTTTTTACTAGATATATTTATTTATTTATTTAAAAAAAAAATATCAGTTGTGCAATTTTTTAAAACCTTGTATAATTATTTTTTTTTACATTTACATTAAAGTCTAAAGGCTTTTGTAATTTACAAACTAATATGTTTAAATTAGTTGGTCATTTTAATTTTAAAGAAACTAAAAATCGCGAGTTTATTCTAATCGAAATTCAATATTATTATTTATTATAACAATTAACTTTTGAAAGTTGTTTTCTTAAAAAGTCCTATGAATATGAATATGTATATGTACACATTAACACATTATTCTTAAAAATATTGTAAAAATACTTTATGTAATATTCTTACGAGTATATTGTTAGGTATTATTTAAATACTAATACCTAAATAAATGCACGGTGTATTCATCAATATTAGTAGCTGAAGACACTAATTTACAATATAATTCCGTTTCTTGACTGGTTAATTGAAAATCCAGAGACTTCTAAAATGATTTATATAATAATAATAATATTTATGTAATATATTATTAACTATTTGTGCACGTTTCCTTCCCATTTCTGTCCCACCTCAATTTAAGTTTTAATGTAAAATTTGTATGTATTATTTATTTATTAAACTAAGAACATATTTTATATAATATATGGTGTATTTCACGCTCATAATATTATTTTATTTGACTTAGGAATTACATTTGTTTGATTTCCTAATGTTTTGCAATCGTATTTAAGTTAACTTCGCATGATAAATAAAATGTATCTTTCTATTTTTTAATTAAAACAAAAAATAAACTACAAATCATCGATAAATAGTGTGTTCTTATAATATAGTTAACAAAAAATATACAAAATAGTAAATGTGTATTGCTGTCAGTATTTTGAAAATTATACTTCTTATAAAATAGAAAAATTAACTTTTAGTTTAATATTATAGGATAATTAAAAAAAGGATGTTTACTTATAATTTTTTTCCTATAAAAATTGTGTTATAACCATGGTTGAAGTATACTTCTACCAAGTAAATTTTAACCATGGTTATGGACTATGGTGTAAAACAAATCTGCAAATTATAATATAGCATCTATGACGTTTAATATGTTTGAGTCATCGGTGGACGGCTATGAATTCGGGATTATCTGTGGGGAAAACAACATGCAAACATTTTTCGGTACACCAATAACGACGTGACGGTTTAAACTATGTAATCATTTTAATGTTTTTGTTTTCCTTTTCATTTCTTCTCATAGTTTTAAGTATAATATACTTTTCTGTAGTCTGTACGGTTCTTTTACAAATTTAAATTGCACCATACCTACCGATTTACCGAGTTCTCGTTACTTGAGTAGTGTAGGTACGCTACGGTTTTAGGTATAAATATTTTTTTCATAATTAATGAACGTCGGCTCGCGAATTACACTATACAAGTCTAACTTAATCAATATATCTATATTATACAAAAGTGAATAGTACCGTTTTACATGGTACATTATGTGACCAGACGCAGCAACAACAACAGCTGAAGTTTGAATTGCTTTTTTTTCTCTAATTATATTAAATTAATTTATATATGCACTATGATAAAGTAATCACGTTTTGGAAAAAAATTTATAAAATAAAACTCAGAATAAAATTACTAATTTTATTAAGTTTGGACGCAGGACAAGACGTATAATGTACAATATTGTAAGTTTTGAGATTGAAAAAACATGTGACAACATTATAACTACTGTATAAATTGAACAATAAAAGCCAAGACTATTTTTATGTTTATGACGAAGATGCTAATTTAATTTAGGTCCAATTTTTAGAAACCAATAATTTTTAAATGGTCCTTATTATTATTAATTTTTTTTTACTATATAGGAGTAATTAGTTGTTTTGGCACTGTCTGAAAATTAATTATAAAACAAAATTAAATTAAAAACACTTATGTATTACTAAAAAATCTATTAGAAACAAAACATATTCTAAATTAACAACGAGTAAACTGTAAAAGTAATTTAAACTAAAACTGTTACTACCATTCATGGAAAAACAAAAACCAATTATTCATTATTTAGGGTTATACCCATAGAGAAAGATACATCACGATATCGGTTAAGTCTTTACACTCTCAAAAAAGTATTAACCGAACCCTCAAGATCGGTTTGTAAAGAATAAAACTATATTTTTTTTATCGGTCACTAAATATTGCATAGATTATTTTAAAAAGTTCTTAAATTCTTTAGAATCATGCTGTTTGTTGAATCATGTAGGTAAGTAGGGTGTTTTTGATTGAAGTATAAAATAGCTGACAGTAATTATATTCGATCACACCAAAATTATGTTTTAATGTTATTGATTTGGTAGAATTTTAGTTTGTGTAGTACTTCTTTTAGCCATTAGTTGCCACTGTGTCCACGCTATAATTGACAAAACGAGTAAAATTTAAATTTTATTGGAATGTATTATTCACTTAACATCATTTAGATGCTATAGGTCTCTTTATGCTTATTAACTTAGGTACGGTTTTGTAAATACTTTAGAAACAACTAGAAAATATCGAACCAGTCAATTTGTAGTAGAGTAGGTGTCTAATAATAAAAATAGACATTAGGTAATTGAATAATATAACTAAATTATGTAATATTTAAAATTTATTTATTTGATATATATATATATATTACACATACAACATGTTCACATAATTGATACCTACTTAGTACGTCAATAATACCTTAAATCGTAACTAGCTGTCTATTTACTGTTGTTAAGCAGCACTATTTAACATTTTTTTTTTTTTAAATCATACTTAATAGCGATAAATTCTTACAAACAAATAACATTAGTGTCTTCTGAATTGAAAGACAGTTAGTTTTGTTTAATTGAGAAAATAATTAAACAATTAATAATTAAGAAAAACTGGGTATAAATACCCATCAGAATATGAATGTAAAATTAACGTAGTGTTAGAATAATATGGCAGTTTTATATTATTAATTTCATGAAATTTTCGACGCAGAAGAAATCGTGTTTAAACTTGGCCACCCATTCTTCCACAAATACTCTTAACGGTTCTATGTAGGTTTCTTGGACATCACCGCTTGCATGTACGTCGCTGATTATGTTGTTTGACTTCAAAACGCTGTAGTAATCGGACATGTTTATACCATAAAATTCAATTTTTCTTTCGATTTTATCCTTCAAAATAGTCGCCTTAGTTTTGGAAATTTTGTTTTGCTTGAAACACCAAATGAGGATGTTAAAAATGTATTTGGGCGAATCCACTTTTAAATTAGGATACACGATGCTTTCAAATTGTTTGAAATTTTCCAAAATCGATGCTATTTGATCGTCGGTAAAATCTACTTCGTTTTGACCGGCAGACTGTAAAATATTCAATATGTATCCTAAAAATATGGATGTCACACTGTTTTGAACCAAACCCTGATACGCGGCAAACTTTTTTGGATTTACACTGGACAGGACATCATCTCGAATAGTTTGAATTAACTGTAATGCTCCGTCCCACTGGAACTTTAATTCGGTGATAGATTTTAGCGGATTGAGATCTTGTTTTTTATCAACTACAAGCGTATCAAAAGATGCTAAACTTTTGGTAATCTCACATTCATCATCGATCGGCGGTATGGCACTCATAATATGTTGTACAACAGTCACAATACTGGCAATAATTGTATAACTAGTAGTTTGGGGTGTTTTTGATGACTCACATCTCCTTTTTATCAGCATCCTGTTTTTGTATTCATAGGCGCCATAAGTTTGTACAATGAAGTATTCAATTTCGTTTATAATAAGCACAGTCAATTGTTTGAGCTTGTTTACTTTCTGTAAATTGACATTCACGTTATTTTCCGCTGGATTTGTCAACTTTGTATCAAACATAAACATTAAAACGATTACATTTCGAAGATTCGCGTTTTCTGATTTTGGTGTTTTTATCATTTGTACATACAAAATCCGAACTATCGATAATAATCGTCTCTGGAATTTTTCAGCTAATAAAGTTAAATTTTTTAAATTACAATTACCGTCACTTGTATCTGAACAGTTGAAGCGATCCAGATGTATTTTGAGTAAGGTGAAGAGATCTACAATGCCTGTTAACAATTTATAAACATAACGCTGGGCCACATTATTGAATTGTTCAGAGGGTGCCATCAATTTTGTTTCTTCAAAACCCGAAGCTTTCAACAATAAAACATTGTTAAGATTTACATTATTTATAGACATCCTCAGCTTTGCAAGTTCATCAGTAAATTTCATAAGGTTATTTAATCGTTTTGCGTAGTCAGTCTCTCCGAGATTCTCTTCATTGTCACCGAAGTCAGCACTAAACGTTTTCATTTCTAATTCCAATAGCTTGACCACTTCTTGTGGATCCACAATATACTCATTTTCTACATAAACAATAAGAATTTTTAAAGTCTCTGTTGCCTCTGCTGGCCAATCTACAGACAGAAATTTGATCAATTCGTTTTTAACATTTACCCAAAACTCTTTCTTGGCCAGTCCATTGTCTATTGGTTTGCGTGACCGAATAAGGCCTGTCCAGAAATTGTTTACAAACAAAGTAAAATAATTCAGTGGTCTAATTTCGTTATTTGTACCACTCCATGTCTGGAAAGCCTGGACAGTTACCAATAATTGTTTATAAAACATCTGGGCGATACACTTGAGTGATAATTTTTGGAATGCGGCAAATGTCTTGGTACTGTACTGAGATTTGACTTGTTGTACGACGGTTGTTACCTCTGTAGGCTCGTCTAACCAGCGGATTCGTATTTTCCGGCCACCTTGCTGCTGTCGTTCAAGCAATTGCCATATGCGCTGTAAGTCGATATTGTTGTTGTTAATACTATATAATTGCAAATGTGCAAATCCGAGTGCGACAAAATGTTGCTCGTTGAATTTATTCACTATATTCGACGTTGCATTACTATAATTTTCATTCGAATCAGAACTTTCATTAGCAAACAACGTCTCGGTATATATTTCATATGTGATTTCTATATCTTTTAGTCGTATCGGTTCGATTGTCGGCAAACAGTACATTGCCGCAAACCTTTGAATTTGAAGATCGCTGGAAAAAAGCAATTGTTCGATTTCTTGATATTTCACGGCGATGTTATTTACATTCGGTTTACTTTCGGCGTCGAAAAAAAAACCAGACTCCGTAAATGAGGTATTTGTCTGATACTCTGAGTAAAGTTTCAAGGCCATCAACGCGTTGTAAAAGTGTTTAAAATCGGTGTTGGTAGGTGGTGACAACCGATAGATGTACGTCAAAATGTTCAACATCTGTGTGATCATAGAGTGGATTTTTTCAATATTTCCCAACAATGAATTAAAGCAAGTGGCAAGTTTGTTGCCGAATGCTCGAGTTCCGCATATTCGTACTATGCTTAAAACTGAAATAATGTACTCCCTTACAAATGTCGATTGTTCACAGCCGAGCATGACTGCCAAATGTCTTGTCAACTGTCCATTAGACGTTATTTCAGAAGTTTTTGCACTATTAGAGGCATTTAACAGCTTTAACATAGTTATTTCCTTACCGTCGTCTAAGATTGTTACATTTTCTATTGATTTCCAGCCAGTGTTTTGGATTAGCTCTTCCAGTTTGATCACAGCATCGTCGTCATTAGCCAATATGAATAACTGGTGAGCAATACATACCGACGACAATGCAAATAAAAAGTTTAAAAACAGTTTTGAGTACATGACTATATATACTATATAGAAACGCGAATTGTCAAACTATGAACATTAATATGAAATCGAGTGTTCAGCGGCTTGAATTTATATATTCAATTCTTACAGGTTTGTAATTTTATTTGCATTTAACGTCGGCAAAATTTTCGGTTTGAACGTTATTAACGCATATGTATAATCATGTCGATTTATATTTGTAATAACCATATCAAATGTATATATTTGTTTTGGATATCTACAGAAATCACTTTTTTTTTTTTACCTGTAACAGCTTTATATTGTGCTCACGAAATGTAGAGTAATGCAAATTCCTACATCTGATTCGATAAAACAGGCTTATAATTCTGAAATTTTTATTATAAATTCTAAAAAATTTTAATTTTTACATGTACATTTTTTTTGTTATTTAATTTAGTGTAATGCTTAAAAAATCTAGAGTAGGTGGATGAGTCATATAATATTAAAACAATGCTTATAATATATTATAATATTTTTTTTCCTATATGGTATATTTCATAATATTGAATACATAATTGTCAATTTTTTTTTTTAAATAATAAAAAAAAGAATAGTACGGTGTGTTTGGGGCACATGTAAACTGCGCCCCGTTTATAATTTGGTTTAAAAAAGGTACATGTAAACTGCGCCCAGTTTCTTATCAAAGTTAGGTTAGGTTAACTGATAATACGTTGTTTACAAAACACTTTAACTTATTTGAATATTTTTAAAATTATAAACATTAAGTGTAATTCGTACATTTCTCTGAATTATTAGTCTACTTTGCATTTACTGCGTTGGTTGTGAAATATGGGGGTGACAATGTTTGTATAATAATTTTATATTGTTTTATAAATTTTAATTTTCCCTAAAACTAAATTTTGTTTTAAAATCTTAAAAATGTATATAGATTACAACAGTTTCCTATGAAAGAAAACCGTTCTGGATCGCAAATAATTGAGTTTTTAACAAAAAGAGTGAACGCTCTTGGAGCAAAACAGTGTGGAACGTTTTTAGTCGATTGTGAAACTTATGCATCAATTCCTCAATTAGGTAACTAATATAATGTTTAATTGATGACATCCATTTTGATAATCAATGATGATAATGTGAATACTTAAATGTAATAATTATATGTTTATATTTAGGCGTTCAACGTACTCTACACGTTTTCCACAATTCGGAACATCCAGCATCTGTGTTTGCGTTATTAGATAACGGAACTGGAAAATCGGTGCCGGTTGTGGCAGATTCTCTTTTTGATTTATTATTACTAAAGTTGTCTCCGGTCTATCCGTCGAAAAAATCCAAAGTAGAAATCAGAGGTCCCAGATTTGAACTAAATGATTTCGTCATTAAATTTGGCGCTATTTATATTAATCATAATGTTAAAGGCATTATTGTAGAGGTATGTAATGTTTTAAATTGTTTTTTTGAGTAATAATATTTTTCATAGAAAAGAAATAACAAAATGAGAAAACCTTTGAATAAATAAAGGTTCTACAAAATTATATATATTGGACATTTTTTTTAGGCGGAATATCGACCGTGTGTGGTTTTTGGTTTATGTTGGGATATGTTAAGAGAATTTTTGCAAGGTTTTCTTGGATCATGTGTTTCAAATATTCCACCACATTATTTCCAGGTATTTCTAAGAACAAACATTTTTTTTTAAAGAATGAATTTGTAGGTTAAGCTTTTCTGATGCATTGCGCCACATACGTACACTATCATTTCAATATATAATATTATATTACCAAAAACTTGAGCATTTGACTCATTTTGGCGTTTGCGAAATAGGCCAGCAATCAATAAAATATGTATAATGAGATATTTTTTTTCATTTTTAGAACCGAATGAATGATATATTTCAACCGTTGGACATTATACAGCAGTATCTAGATCATATCACAATATACAGAAAAGCTACTGGAGTTTTACAACAATACAACAACAACAATAGTACTTAGAAACAATGCTTTGTCGTTTCAATATTCTTAAACAAAGTCGTGTTTATTTTGATTAGGCTTAATATCGTACAACGTTTGTAAGATAATGTATACACCTGTATCTGAGTATTTATATTTTTAAATTAAAAAAAATTCCTTAACTTCAAGAATTTTGAGATAGAAATAACATTTCTTTTTTTTTTAATTATTATTTTATTATGTACACATGTAGAATATTTATGTAAATATACTAAGACAATTATTAATTATTTGTTCACTTGACGGAGCAATATATTGCTCCGGGTAACTCCGTTACTTCCTTTTTAAAAAACAACTACATAGATTTATAACCGATTTTATTGTACGCAAAGAATATCGACTAATTATGAGATATTCTCTTCACGGTATAGTTCTTTGTCCACTTTAAGCACAGGTAAGATAAATAATTTTATCGCATCTATGCTTAAGCGCAATCTTATGACACATACATCTCGATTACTAATAATAGCTACGTTTGGTTAAACATAATATTGGAATAGATTGAGCTTTATTTGAAAATGTTTAATTAATGCATAAAGTCCTTAAAAACTAAATAGTGAAATTAATATAAATCATATATTTATAGTTAAATCATACAATTCTATAACAAAATAATACTAATAACATTTATAATTACTTGTTTTTTTTTTTTGTAAAACAAGTAATTTTAAGTAATAAATAAAAAAAAAAAATTGAAATATTAAATTTGATCTTATTTTATTTCATTTCATCTTACTATATTCAGTTATTATAATCACAAATTGTATTCAAAATGACTTGAAATTTTACTTAAAATTAAATAAGTACAGCCTTTAATCTAAACCGTAATAAAAATAAATATAATAATATAAATCATACGTTATATATATATATGTGTGTGGGTACATACGATTGTTAAGAAATATATAAAATTGTACACGTCACAATTGGCTAAAATGTACATTTGAATAAATACTACCTAAAATTATCATAGCTTACTGTCTGGACACGAGTAATGTGTACTATTTCATACTATATTGGATATTAGTTAATACTTATATTCTGTAATAAAGAAATAGACGGCATTCCGCTTAGTAAGTATTTACTTGTATAAATAAATTGCTTTTAAGCAAATAATAAAAATATTTATGTATACACATAATACAGTTTATAAATAAAAATGAGTATCGGGTAAATACTAAATACCATGAACATTAATTACTATAATAGAAAATGTCTACTAATATTTAAAAAATAATTTAATTATAATATAATATGTAGCAAGCTTTACGTTAACTAATAAACTTTTTGGATTAATTATCAATGAAAAGTCAATAATAATACTAATTTTTACACTATTTGGTAATTTGGTTTTAAAAAAAAAAAATTCCAACTATAAAGGTTTGAAGGTTTTTTTGGGAGGTAAATAATAATGTACACAATTGAGAATAATAACAAAATTAGTTTAAAAATAATTGGTATGACAACAAAAATATAACAATCACTTGTACGAGACTCGTGGTATAATGTCATCAATTCGTTCTAAGATTTTTTTTTAAACTATCATATCATAATAATTATAATTGATTAAACTTGGTAACAAAATAAGTGTTGAATATTTATTGAAAAGTTATTAGATAATATAAATTTGAATCGCTTTAATATTTCATTTCATTAATAAAATGAGGGTTGCCATTATTTTAGATGGCACGAATAATAATACTTAAGTTGGAGAGGTAAAATCGCATATTTTACAGATGCAGTCAATCATTTAGTTATTGCGATATCCAATTACGGTTAGGTTTTATGTGAAATCAGTCTCGTATTAGAATTTAAAAGATGATTTGACTGCTTGTTAAACATCGGCGGGATGGCCTGCCTTTAAACGGCCATTTTTTCGATCGAAGCAAGAAAGAGGAGGCGCAGCTGACGTAAAATTGTTTACCCAATTATGTATTGCAAGCTTTTCATTTACATTATTGAATTATTATAGAAACACAATTGCACAGTCAAATTCGTACAACTCAAAGTTATAAATATAATATTTTTATAGTATCTATAAAAAAAAAAATCACCAAAATTTGTTTCACTAACAACCGTTTATAATAAATTAAGCAGCCGTAATACTTATGTTTGTATTGCTGTGGTCATTTCTCGGTGTATTGCAGCCAATTCTTGTATACGTACAAATAGACTGTTGTTCAATGTATCGATAACACGTCTCTGCGACTCTTGAGCTGCTAACGCAGTTTCCAATTGCGCTTGAGCTAAGCTCACTGCCGCTTGAAGTTCTGCATTTTCTTGACTGAGAACCTAAACGGATTTAGTAGGACAATAATTAATAAAATTAGTTTTTTTTAGCACATTCTACGATAATAGTACCTTGCACTTATCTTCAAGCGGCATTCGGTTCATTGTCAACTTTTGCAGCTCTTCGTTTTTGGATTTTAACTCGCTATCCATGTTTTCGACTTTTAAACGTAAATTAGTCAACTCATTTCTCAACTCCGAAGAAACTTCTGACCCTCCTTGAAATATAAATGTTTACAGATAATAGTATCGAGCAATAAACTAAAAATGTTTACAACACACCTTTCGCTACTTCAGCATCGAGATATCTATTTTTCAAACGCTGATTTTCTTCTTTGTACGACTGCAATTGTCGTTTCCATTCATCTACATTAGCTGTGCTCTCTTGCAACGCGTTGGTTAACCTCAAGTTGTTGTTTTTCAACGTCTGTAACTCAATTTCCCATTTTTTGGCATTTGCCGAACTGAAACAACAATGAAGCGACTAATAATATTTCATAATAACAAAACAATTAATTTATTTATTAAAAATAATTAAAAACTAAAAATACCTATGGGTCAAAGCCAATTTTAATCTTTCGTTTTCGTACTTCAACTGCGATTCAGACATCGTAGAATTTGTTCCAGTGCTTGTCCGTCCGTCGATAGGCATTTGATGTTTGGGGCTTTCGGCAGCCTGAAAATGAAAACTTATTAATAGTGTACAAAAATAAAATAATAAAAATAAATCAAGCGTTAAAAATATTATATCATACGTGGTTTGAGTTAGAAACCACCATATTTTTGGACATCTGATTCATTAGTTGCTCAGCAGTGTTAGGATCTTCAGGAGTGGTAGTTGGTTCAGTGGGAGTCATATTGGGAGGTTCAATAATACTTTGGCCGTCGGACGACTGGCTTATACGCGTAGTCACCGGACTGGCGTTAGCGCTAGTCACTGGCGTGGTCGACGAACTCATGTACGCTTGCTGAAGTTGTTGAGGATTATTGGCAGTCGTTTGACGGGTTTTTTCTTTAACTTCTTCAAACTTGTGGATAAACTGTTAAAAGTAAAAATGTTTTAATTTGAATCAATAAGAAGACACATTGTAATGTATTGACAAATAGAAAGACGTATTTAAAAGTTGCACACAAATGGGATAAAAAATACAAATATTTGTTTGACGTCCGCTTTGACTTTCAAACGCACTTGTCAGAGTTGAAAATACATTTTTCAAATTTAATTTAAACTATTATGTAATACTTTGTTTAATTCTTGTTCTGAAGAAAACCCAAGACCATAAACAGTGTTGGCACGCGTGTCAGTCCATTGGCCAAATTTTTGTGATGTTTTAGTGAAAGACATGTTCGGAGTAATCGTACTGTTGATGACGGCCTACAAAATGCATAATTTATATTTTGTTTTTCAATAAAGTAAAAATTAAGCCTCCTTACTTTAGTTCCTTCAACACTGATGATTCGATACAACGCCCGATGGGAATCGAAGAAGAATGATACAGTAACAGCAACGGTAGATGCAGAAATCCACGACTTTTTTGTCTTGGGATCGATATGGAAGACGTGTGCCTTGCATGAGAATATCGGTTGTTCACTTAACAACAAGAATAATAATCAAGTATAAGAACAAGTAAGTATTTTATATTTAAGTCAAGTACTACTCACCCTCCCATTGTATCTTTGCCTGAAGTCATAGCCATTAACGGCAGAATGATTACGGTTGAAAAAAAAATCACTCAATAAAACGACGAGCACTTTGAACGAAAAGTGTTTAAGGAACAAAAAAAAAAATGTTAAGTAGCAAATTCAAAACGGGTTTTAAGTAGGTACAAAAATGTTCTGTTTTTAAAGTTAACAAGCCGTGTAAATTATTGGAAATTTGTTTATCAATTGAAATAAGTTAATGTTTATGCGCTTTTGATAAGAATACCGATTGCCATGAAACTGCGCATGCGCAATAAGGACAACGCCCATATACGCATGCGGTTTGCTTATCAGCTTGTTATCATTTATTATCACTGTTTGTTTACGATAAGTGATAACAAAAAAAAAAAATTGAAAAACTATTCATGAATGTTCATCAATGAACAAAATGTTAAATTTTGTATAACTAAAAAACGGAAACAACTTTTAATATGAATACATCATTAAAAAAAAAATAGGTAATATTATTACTGTTTTAATTTCATGACGATCGTCTGTTTTTGAAATGCTCGATGTAAAAAAAATACACATTCAATAAGAGTATGTATTTTAATTTTATTTAGAATATTGTACATAACATAGGTAGTCGATATTGTCGCCAATTGTATTCTAAGTAAATTTTACAAGAATTGCACGATTGTTATGAAGAAACCGTGCAAAACTATTATCTCATAATCGGTAAAATGTTCATGCCAAGTTAGAAAACTACACAATTTTCAGGTATGCATTTATCATTATTTTGAATTTATGTTATTTGACTATATTAGCGTATTAGATAAGTAATAATTGATAATGAAGTATGTTATGTATCATTAATATCGTTAAGTTTTAGGGGCCCATTGAAAAAAAATTGTAACTTGTAAGCTACTTTCTTACTTAATATATATATATATATTTTTTTATTTGAGATTCTGCATATAGTTCAGTTTATCTCAACAATTACGTATGATTTAACAATAAAAAACGGCTAATAGATATATACAAAATTACAACAAAACTTACCGAAATGCATTAAATCGAAAAATCAGCCGCGATAATTAAGGAAATAATGTGTAGGATGGGAGGTTCGGAATTGGAAACCACTTTTACTTGTATTAAAAAATCATTGAGTTGTACAAAATTAAAGTTTTATTATTTCCAGCATTTAATATGGAAGAAAGTCAAGATACTGAAAATATTATAGCAGACCTGGAAAACACGTCTTTAGTCGAATCGGAACCAGAAGTATCAATTGTCAACGAAAATAGCGAGTCAAACGAATTAGCAACAGAAAATGTAAACGTTAATTTACATGAAAATTTATTTGAAAAACTTAAAGAGAACAATAAACATGTATTTGTGTTGAGCACAGCTGGCAAACCCATTTACACGCGGTTAGTTGAGAAATGTATCACTTAAATAAATATGATATTTATGCTTCCTCATAATAAGTTTTTCTTTTCTTTTGTAGTTATGGAAATGAAAACCAAATGGCTTCCCTGTTTGGCTTAATGATAGCGTTAGTATCGGTTACACAAGATTCTAACGATACATTACAATCAGTGTATTGCGGACCAACCAGAATAGTTTTTTTAAATAATGATCCGATCATATTAGTTGGTGTATCTCAGACTTCTGAACCTTACGATAGAATCAAAAAACAGTTAACGTAATTTTTCTTAAGTATTGCAAAAGTACCTTAGATTTTAATATTAATATATTATTATCGTTTTTGCGATAGCAACAATTTGTTTACAATTTGCTCGTGTTTTCCTTTCAGGTACGTGTACAATCATATAATTAGCACTTTGACGCTAACGCAGCTAAAGAAAATATTCCAGAACAGAACAAATTTTGATCTGCGACGTCTGATGAGTGGATCCGAGAGACTAATAGACAAGCTTATAACGTTCACTGAAAACGATGCTGGCTTTTTGTTAGATTCTATTTGTTGTCTACAAATGCCATCGTCGAGTAGAGACAAAATAACACAAACCATACTGACGGAATGTAGTAAAATAAAGGTGAAATATAAAATCATATTCATCGTTATCTCATCGTGTATATATTTTATTCGACCGTTTTATTAGAATTTAGTATTTGGCCTGTTGATTGCTCAAAAACATGTGATATCTATTGTGAGAATGAAAAAGTATACACTGCAAGTGTCCGATATTCATTTGATACTCAACCTCGTCAATTCGACTGAATCGTTTAAGACTGCCGAGAGTTGGACGCCTATTTGCTTACCGACGTTTGACGCAAGGTTTAAAGCTTTATTAGACTACTTGTCGCAGTAAAATTTGTCATCTCTATTGTGCGTGTGTGGTGTTGGACATTTTTTTTTTTTTCGGAGCTTATTAATTATTATTATCAAAGAATTAAATTTCGTCTGTTATATTAAATTTTTATGCACAGTAGTTATTTTTTGCACAATTCATTATTTACACTTGCTACGTACGTATATAATAGATGTATTGTAACAACAAATTTTACTGTAAAACACATTTTTCAAAATGTATAACAAAAGTTTCAATAATAATTTATTTTAACAGTGGTTTCATGCACGCTCACATATCATACTTGGCTGAAGATTGTCAAGCATGCCTGGTATTGTTAACTATCGATCATAATTTATTTTTTTTACTCTCCGACGCCAAGAGAAAAATAACCGAGGTGTGTGTAATTTGTATTATTTACTATTTTTGCTCGTTAAAACCATATTATTATGTTGAATTGTGTACCGTCTTTTGTATAATAGAAAATGCGTCGAAACGATTGTCTGCAAGCAATCAACGAGGCAATGTTACGTCAACCATTGAGTTTATCGCGGATCAACATTGTTGGCCTGAGACATTTGTTGTACAAAAATAAAAATCGATCACAACATTGGTGTCCTCCATTTACAGCTGTGTACGACACTGATGCACTTCGGCAAAACCTTATGTCCACGTATTACTCATTAAACAGTCAATTAAATTTTCCCGGTCGCACGTTAAAAGTGATCTATCAACAACTAATGGCTGAAACTATGCTCGCTTGGGTATTTTTTATTTAACTATTATTGTTACAACAATTTCTAACAAACAAAATGATTTTGTTTTTTTCTTCAGGCGACTGACGACGTAGAATTGTACATGTGCTTCGAGCCACTCGTGTCCAAAGAATGTGCAATGAACGCAGTTACTAGACTGACGCAATGGATGAAAAAAGAAGAAGATTCTTTGTTCATTTTCAATATACCCATGTTTTAGATAATACTGTCATGGGAATTACTTTCAACATGTGTGATATGAAGTTTAAAATAATTATTTGTTATTTTTAAAATAATATACGATATATATATTATTTTAATGTCTATTCATATTATGTATACATTTAACCATTCCTTTAGATAAACTAAACGGTTAGTCGTCACTTGTGCATAAATGTAATTAAATGTATTTTATTATAAACATTTTACTTCTGTATGCGTACGATAAACCTAATACTTTTTTTATTATTTTGAAAAGCGGTCAAATAAAATAGTTTCCCATGTAAATAAAAATTGACTTATTATTTTTAAATAATAAATTATTTTATTTATTATTAATGCAACTAGTTATTAGTTATAAAACTGGAAAGCGAATATTTGACTCAAACCTACTAAAATTAAGTATAAATAAAGTTAATCTTTTATCGTTGGCAGCAAAGAACATCTAACTTGATTATTGCAATAATAATTTTAATTTGCATTAGTGATTTTGCATCAATCGGTATTACAAAATGTATACTACCATATTATGAGTATTGGTCATCGCCGCTTCCCAAGGGTTTCCACTAATCTTTAAAGGGTGTTAGTCCACCGTCAGAGCAAGGATAAAATATGTTAGTTGGTTTTTTTAATAGAACAATTGCCCTACAAATCAAATAGTTCCAAGAATTTATTAACTTAGGTATTTATAGTTTATTTAACTTGGATACATATTGAAAATTCTTGGCTTTAAAATATATTGTGTATATTATTCATACTGTACACACTGTGTTTATCATTGGTTCTTTAAATTCTACTGATAGTGTTATCAGCCTTATCACTAATTTTTAAATGATAATAGATTTTGTAAACAACACAATGAATTATGAAATTGAAATTTGAACTTCTTATACCTGAATTTTGAAATGAATTAATTATCGAATTGACTTATAGACAAAGTACTGTACAGATAATTTTCAAAACAAACAAATTAACAAAATTTGAATAAAAATTATATTTTTTGTTTTTCAGTTTTGTCTAAAACTATGATGTTATTCCAAAACTGAAAAATGTCTAATGACGAAGAAATCGAAGCCACATATGTCATTGTCGGTGGCGGTATTGCCGGTATGAGCTGTGCTGAGACATTGAGATTGTATACAAAAGATCCGATACTGTTAATTTCGGAGTCGCCCACTGTTAAAGTGGTCACCAATATAAAATTTCACACAAAAATGGCAGCTGGGTTTGACGTAGAAGAAAAATGTTTACAAACGCTTAGAGATATTAAGTTTGTTGTGGGAGAAGTGATTTCAATTGACTCGGTCGCACGTATAGTTTATACAAACAATGTAAAAATCAATTATCAAAAACTATGTTTATGTACTGGCGCTACGCCCAAACTTCTAGACGATAAAGACTATATTATCGCTCTACGAGATACTCACTCTGTTGAATACTTCCAAACGATTCTCGGCCAAGCTAGTCAAATAGTTATTGTCGGCAATGGCGGTATAGCGACTGATTTGGTGTACAAGTTAAACGACGTTAAGATCATTTGGGTGATTAAAGACAATTATATAAGTTCACATTTTTTGGATGCCGGCGCAGCCGAGTTTTTCAGCAACTATTTAAACGCTACACAAGTAGAACCTAAAGTCGTCAAAAGACACAGGTATACAGGAGAAAAAGGAACTGGTGCTGCGCTGGGTCCGGATTGGCATAGCGGTGTAATGTTTGGAAATAACAAAAATAAAGAAGTCATTATTGAATATACCACTTCGATCAAAAGTATTTCCAAAGACAAACAAACAAGAGTGGAACTGGAAAATGGAAAAACGTATGAATGTGATTTTGTCGTATCTGCAATAGGCGTAACCCCAAATAGTGATATAGAATTGAAAAACAATAAACAGTTTGACATTGCACCTGATAACGGTATAAAAGTAGACTGGAAAATGGAAACAAATCTGCCAGATATATTTGCAGCAGGCGATGTATGTACCACCGAGTGGAAATCGGATCATTGGTTTCAAATGAGATTATGGACTCAGGCGCGACAAATGGGCATTTATGCTGCAAAATGTATGTTTCATAGAAACGCAAATGAAGCACTATACCAAGACTTTTGCTTCGAGTTATTTACACACGTGACTACATTTTTCGGATTCAAAGTCATACTGTTGGGTCTGTACAATGCCCAGGGGTTAGAAAAAAACGACTGTGAGTTGTTGGTTAGAGTTACCGATGGACAAGAATATGTCAAATTAGTACTGAAAAGTGGTCGAGTCGTCGGAGCCGTTTTGATCGGCGATACCGATTTAGAAGAAATGTGTGAAAACTTGATATTGAATCAAATTGATATCTCAAACCTCAAGGATGACTTGTTAGATCCAAACATAGACATAGAAGATTATTTTGATTGATTTAATTGTTTATTGTCTTGAAAAAAAATTGTAAATACACGTAAAAAAAAAAAAAAAAGTATATACTTATTACTTCCTATAAGGTGATCTAGATCGGTGTCTTCTTGACCGATCACGGTCATGGCTCCTACTTCTTCTGTGACGATCTCTGTCCCTCCTGTCACGGTCCCCACGATCTCTGCGTTCACGGTCTCTATCCCTGTCTCTGTCTCGATTCTTATTTCTTTTGTCGCGGTCGCGATCTCTTCGTTTTTCTCTGGCCGGAGAACGTTTGTCTCTGTGGTCTTTTTCTCTCTTCTTGTCGACTGGTTCTTCGTCTTCGGACGATTCAACTCCTTCTTCAATATCTTCCTCTAGAATGGACACCTTGGGTTCCAATTCGTTATTTTCTTCCAACACGTGCCTACTTTGTATACGCGGCAGAATGACGTCGCACACACGTTCTTCTCGTAACAACGAGTCGATAAACTCGTCCATGTAGACGAGTTCGAATTGGCCCGTTCGATTTTGCTGTCTCAGTTTACGACTGTCGGCGAGCAGAGGTTCCAAGTATTTGTAACAGTCCACCGACGATCCGGTCAGACGCATGTAGTACGCTCCCAAAGCGCGCACGTACTTGAACTCTTCGTTTTTGATGAATTCCACAATAATGTCCTTCTCGGGTTGTATTTGTAACATTTTCAGAGTCAAACACAGAAACGGAGTCGGTTTGATGTTTCCCCCGAAAACGCCTCCGATGAAACGGATCTGCATAGCCTTGTCGACCAACAGTTCGGCGGACAGCGCAAAGCATTCTTCTTTCCAGAATTTGTTGTCGTAAATCCGAGACCGAATGATCTTTTCGATCAAGTACTGCGGATTGGTTCCGTGGATTGTTTTTGCGTCCTTTACAGTGCGATTTGCCATTTCGTATGACGTACGTTTTTTTTATAGCATAGCTCGGCTAGCGGAAATGACAATTTTTGTTGAAAATGAATTTTAACGTTGACAATAATTATTAAGATCAGACTCCGATGGGTATTTTACTTGGAAAAACGCTGCTACATGCCAGATGTAAACACCGGCTTGAGCATTATAACACAGTAACAAGTAAGTAAACGCAACTCGTTCAGTTAGTAATTGTGATAACGGTGATAAGTTTTGACAGTGTAGCCAACTGTCGAAATCGAGAAATTGAATCATCGGCATAGATTATACAGTATTGTTTATCTAAATCGATGAGTAGAAGAGATATGATAATTGATAACTTGAAATTTGTATCACATCACTGATCACACTGCACACTGCACAATGTACAAACCAAATTTTAAATTTATATGTTTTGTCTATTCTGTACTAAATTGGAAATACACATCTGACTAAATCGAGTCAAAACATCTTTAGATATCTGTTATTTACTATATACACGATATAAATAAAAATATCATTATATGAAAATATATTTTTTTAAACCTAATTGTCTGTTTACACAACTTGTTATTTTGTGTAAAAACAACAACATATTTCACTCATATTTCTAAAACGTTGTTGTTTGTCTTAAACGTCCTACATTTGTTCTAAATACTAGGTAGTGTTTTAGTGAGTAAATGTAATAAAACTGACAATCGTTTTTTTTAATTTTTAGTGTAATATCGAAAAAACAACAAATAGTTATTTTTCTCATCACTAGTAAATAATTTACCCATTTTAAATAGTTTTACAAAACATTTAAAATGAGAATAAAAATTAAATTTCTAAAATCGATTTCAAATACAAAATATTATTGAGGGCCATTACAAGTCTTATACTTTTTGTTTTTGGGTTAATATTGAAATAAAAATGTACAAGGCTTTATGATAAATCGACCATTCATTCACATGGCTTATCATTTTTCATTAAATAAAATAAATGTATTTTCTTGCTTCGGCAATTCAGTGCAATATTGCATTATATACCATAATAATATATTACACTATGTCAAAAACAACCTGAAGACTAACTTTTTACTTATGCATTAAGTGACATGCTTAGATGGAGAAGAAAGATAATATTCTAAAATAATTACAACTACAAATGAAACGTCTGAGATCATGCGTGTATGTAGGTAAAAAACTACTTGCGTACAAGGCAAATGAATAAAATACACAAAGACTGAAGAAAATATTTTTAAAATATATTTCAATCATTATATTATGTTTTTATAAATCGAAGAACATACAAAATTAGAGTTAAACAATTTGCTTGGTAAGTTTAACAACACAGTCAGTACTGGCAAAAGCTACAGAATGTGACATTTTAATTTATAATGTTTCACATTGTTCTCTGTCAATGTAGTTTAATGAGAAGGTAAAAATGGTATTTATTAAAAAAAAAAAAAGTAATGCAATAGAATGGTACAGTATGATAACGAACATTTTCTTTTTAGCCACAATATACTTAATTATAATATAATGAAATCAAATTATGTTATCGATAAATTATTAAGTTAGTTTCTTAGATGTTAAAAATACATAATGCGTTGACAGCTCTATTTTTTTTTTTTATTAAATGTTAGGATTAGGAAACACAAAGTAGTAAATACAGTTAAAAATTAAATTATTTACTTTCGTTTTGACTTTGTTGTACTTTAATTTCAATCACTTCAGTTATGACATTTTGAAGTTTCTGTTTTTCAATGCCGATCTGTTGAATGCTTTCCATTTGTTCGACAAGAGAGTTGACGCGCCTCTTGAAATATTGTATAGAGTCGTCTATTTCGAGCCGCAGATAGTAACCGGCTCCGATACACACAGTTACGTGTTCAGGATCGGTTAGCTGTCCGGCGGCATACATGGATTTGGTCAACGGTATCATGAGCTTAGTGCCCGACGGCCGACTTTTGGTGCTTTCCAACGCTTCTTGAGAGCTTAAGTAACGCTTTTGTGCGATTTTCAACGACGTGAGAGAATCTTGGATCAAATTCACTTCCTTGTACACCTGTTCCTTCATTTTGGCCAATTGCTGTAGGTTTAGCTTTTTGAGGTCTATAAGCTGTGGTTGTGCCATGTTTTCCAATATAACGGTTGAATCTTTACAAATTTATAATCAACAAAATAACAAACTAGGTTTATGTTTTTTTTAAAACTAGCTGAAAATTCGAAATTTTATACTTTATCTCAGTGAGTCTCGCCGTTTGAGAAATGTGCCATAGGTTTGTAAAGACAGGCGATACTATTGATAACACCTCAAAAAGACACCACAAACCATGCATTGATAAGGCGGTTACCGGTTAGAGCCATGGGCAGTTCTTCCAAAAAATGATAAGAGATAAGAGTTCTTCCAAAAGATAGATGACAAATGAGCTGCTTGTCCATTGAAGACATAGCTAAAAGACAAACTACACGTCATGTAGCTGAGAAGCTACATGAATTGTTTTTACAATAATATTTTTATTTTTGTGTCGAGCCGATGTTTGAAATATAAAAGGTTATTGCACATAATATCATCAAATATTCGATGATGGAAATAAATATGTCAGAGTAAAGGGAGCGAATTAAAATCCAGTACATAATTACACAATAAAATGTAATATAGTAGTAGTTAAGTACAATTGATATCGCCTTACTCTGTCATTTTTTGTTTCTGAAGATAACAACTATTCGATGTGCAATGAACTGTATAATATATTAACCATGATCAGGACCCAAAACATCAATAGTTAAGAAATCGTACCTGAAAAGAACTTAATTGGCCAATAAATTTAAACCAGTTTTAAATAGTTGGTTTGTAGATGTAACAATATGGCACAAAGAAAGAGCATAAGTATTTTTATTAACTCAATTGTTAAAATTAAAATGTATTTGCAACAAAACATAGTTAAAGTTCTCATCTTTCAAACAATTTATATTTTTTTTATCCCTGCATGCATTGAACACAATATACCATTGGAAATACAAAAGTACTATTTTGGTGCTATTATTTTGTATATGACGTCCATTTAAGATGGAAATATTTTGCTAAAATGATAAATGTAGATACCGTGACAATAAATAAAAAATTGCTATTTTATTTAAATAACGACATATTTTCAAAATGTAAATATAAAAAAATCATTATTATTACAATTTCGGTCGTATAAGGTCTGAAATACATAATAAATATTTTTATACCTAGAGGCCTAAAGCGTAAGAATCCTTTTTTTCAACGTCCTTTGACGTGCGGTATTATATAAGTGGCGTTCGAGTCCCAATCGTATTGAAAGCCAGAAGTGTCGTAAGATTGGTTAAAATTTTTGGTTATACCTTTTAATTTTAATTTTATTGTATGCTCAGCGTTTGACTTACGTTTGGCTAGATCCCTACCAAGGCGCAAAGCTTCTGTATCGCCTATATTGTCCCGGGTCCAACTGGAACGGGGTCGGCAAAAGCTATTGTAGAAATGGTTTGACCGAGTTGCAATGTCGGACGCGTGCTTTTCATGTTTGCCGCATTCTCTGTAAACGAATCTCCAAATCTCATCTACCGACGGATTAGAGGTTTCCGGTGGTCTGGAGACGGGTTCTGCCTGGCAGTAGTCCTGTAATTCCAACAACATCTCATAGACTCCCGTTTCGAATGACGTTTCGGGCGACAAATCTTGCAGGGACGAAAGGGCGCCCATCATGCGTGCAATCATCGATTGTTTAGACTGGATTACCAGCAAGTAATCATCAAGACACGGGAACGCTTTATCAGTCGTTCGCAATAATCCTCTGCACAGATGCCCTATGACGCTCTCGTGGTCGCAGTAGTCTGTCAACACTCTGGCGTACGAACAGCTCAAAAACTGATGGGCTAGGCGGATTTTTTCCGACTGGTTTTCCTCGGTCACCGGGGTCGCCGTCAAATCGTCAAAGGTCACTTCGATTTGCCCATCCTCTGTGTGGTCAACAACGTTGAGAAGGCGTTCACCCTGCTCGGCCATCGCCAGCCACGCGGGAGAAGACAGCAGCTCGTTCATCGTGTCCCAGTTGTTTTTTGCAACACAACACAACGCACACGACAAGACGTGTATAGCCGAGAAAAACGATAAAGACTTCATTTTCGACGCGCGGATTAACTAAAGGAATTAATTTTATATGTATAATGGTAAAAAAAAAGATGCACACAAGTGACAATGTCGCGCCTACGTGTCGCGTATCTAACAAGAAACGACGTTCGTCGTTTGGCGACTTTCGAGAACTTTCGCACGAGGCGGGGAGGGGGAGGGGTAACGTTTGCTCAAGTAGTTTTATTTACATAACGCTAATTGTGTACCTACTGTGAAAAAAAAACCGATACGGTAAATGATGGCAACAGTTGTTGTTGTTTTTTAACGCAGGTCTCGACCTGATTTTGACATTTCGAACCACAAGCAAAATTTCATTTGGGGGGGGGGGCCCTATTCCTATATATTGAATACCGGCTTTGAACTTTTTTTTATGTTATAAGAGTTTAAAAGTTATAATATTGTCTTATTTGGACACTGTTGTTTGAAGGAACAAAAAAAATAGTCTATTACCTAATAATACCTAACCATAACAGCTAATAAGTCCTATTTTTTTCCCGTAACGATCGTACAGTCTTAACATTTTGATGGAATTTAACAAAATATAATACACATTGTCGGGTTTTTTTATACTTTAGTTAAGTAAGTTTTTTTTAGAGTAAATAAAAACTGAGTGGGTCACGGGACCATCGGTAGGAACGAAGTTCAGATATCATATGGTTGCATTCGATTAATTTATAAAAAGTGATTGATATAATATCTTTTTATCATATGTATAGTATTATATTTTACTAAATCTCGCATTCTCGCATAGAAATTATTGATTTATGTTGACTAAAATATGATACTTATATTTTTGACTCAATTTTGTTCAAATATCTGGAAAAACAGCATCAATGGTTGTGCCATATTTTGTCGTAGATTATGTAGGAACACTGTTCAGAGACAAATTAAACGTTTCGAAAAGAAAATGTATTCTTTATTAAAAATATAAATGTGTTATAATATTCTTTATTAAGTTCCGAACGTCTTGAAGTAAAACGGGTGAAAGAATTTTAATTAAGGAATAAGAAATTTGTAAGCAGTAGCACGTGGGAATGAATTTGAAGTGAGGAATAAGAAAAAATCATTAACGTGCCAGGCTCTCATTCTCTCTACCCACCCCTCTCTTAAATTTTGATTACTGATGCAATAAATAACTATATTCATAAATTTATTTGTCAGAGAGTCACTGTGTCAAGCATCTCAGTAGATAGTGAGATAAAGGAAAAGAGATAAAGAGCCAGTGCAAGTTATCAGCCAGTTATCATGTACTTTTAAGAGTAAAAATGTATTCTGTAGTAAGAAAATATAAATATTTTATAAGTTTTTAGAGTTAATGCAATATAAATTACCATAAAAGTTGAAAAAAAAATTCAAAAAGTGTTGAGAGGGTAGCCCCGGATTTGAACCCGGTACCACTCACTCCTGGGAACCGATCACGCTCGACCGCACTACATATAGTTTTCACGTATCGCTTTTTTATAACGCGTAACTTTTTTTCTCGGCTAGGTCCCCTCGCCAACCCGCGATAAGGAACTTGGTTCCAAAAAAAAAATTGCGATTTTATTTAAATAACGATATATTTCCAAAATGTAAGTATAAAAAAAATCATTATTATTACAATTTCGGTCGTATAAAGTTTGCAGGTATAAGGTCTGAAATACATTATGAATATTTTTATACCTTAAGGCTTAAACCATAAGAACCTCGTTTTTTTCTTTCCACGTCCTTCGTCGTACGGTATTATATAAGTGGTGTTGGAGTCCGGATCGTATTTAAAGCCGGAAGTAGTGTCGTACGAATGGTTAAAATTGTCGGTTATACCTTTTAATTTTTCTTTTATTACACGCACAGCGTAAGTATCTTTGTCGTAGTCCAAGACACTTAGGTCGTCGTCAGCACGTTTGGCTAATTCCCTACCAAGGCGCAAAGCTTCTGTATCGCCGTCCTCGTCTCGGGTCCAAAGGGAACGGGGCCGGCAAAATATATTGTAGAAAGTGTTTGACAGAGTTGTTATGGCGGACACGTGCTTTTCGACGTTGATGCATTCGGTGTTAGCGGTTTGCCAGGTGTTTTGTTGGTCGTTTCCGGCCGGTCTGGGGACGGTTTTTGCCCGGCAGTATTTCTGTATTGCCGACAAAATTTCATACACTCCTGTTTTGAATGGCGTTTCGGGCGACAAATTTTGTAGGGACGAGAGGGCGCCTTGCATGCGTGCAATCATCGGTTGTTTAGACTTGACTACCAGCAAGTAATCCACAAGACAGTCAAACTTTTTCGAAGCCGGCACCAATGCCCTGCACTGTGGCCCTATGGCGCTCTCTAAGTCGCAGTAGTCCGTCAGCACTCTGGCGTACGAACAGCTCAAGAACTGATGGGCTAGGCGGATTTTTTCCGACTGGTTTTCCTCGGTCACCGGGGTCGCCATGAAAACGTTAAAGGTCACTTCGATTTGCCCATCCTCTGTGTGGTCAACGACGTTGAGACGGTGTTCACCCTGCTCGGCCATCGCCAGCCACGCGGGATAAGACAGCAGCTCGTTCATCGTGTCCGAGTGGTTTTGTGCAATACAACACAACGCACACGACAAGACGTGTATAGCCGAGAAAAACGATAAAGACTTCATTTTCGACGCGCGGATTAACTAAAGGAATTATTTTTATATGTATAATGCTAAAAAAAAAGTTGCACACAAGTGACAATGTCGCGCCTACGCGTCGCGTATCTAACAAGAAACGATATTCGTCGTTTGTCGACTTTAAAGAACTTTCGCACGAGGCGGGGAGGGGGAGGGGTAACGTTTGCTCAAGTAGTTTTATTTACATAACGCTAATTGTGTACCTAATGTGAAAATAAATACCATACGGTAAATGATAGCAACAGTTGTTGTTGTTTTTTAACGCAGGTTTTGACCCGATTTTGACATTTCGAACCACAAGCAAAATATCATTCGGGAGGGGGGGGGCCTTCCTTTAAATTGATAACCGGCTTTCAACGACTATTTTTTATGTTATAAGAGTTTAAAAAAGTTATAATTATTACTATAATATGTGTTATATTAATTGGACACTGTTGTTCGAAGGAATAAAAATAGACTGTTACCTAATAATACCTAATATAACAGCTAATAAGTTCTATTTTTTTCCTGTAATGATCGTACAGTCTTAA